ACCTCCTGTGCTTTATATCCAGATGGATAATAAAGCTGGTGAGTGCAAAAACCGGTGGATACTTGCCTACTGCTGTGCACTGGTGCACCTCGACATCGTGAAGAAGGTATGTTTGTTGTACTCCATTTTTCTAACTGACCTGATCAGATACTTTGATCACAGTTGCATGTCTCACAGCAATGTAAATACGGGTAATGACACAGTGCTAGGTCATTAGATGGACTTTGCTTTATAGGTGTTTCTTTCTGAGGGGACCATAAGGCCACACCAATTTAATTTGTTGGTTCTCGGATTTTTTCAGGAAAAATATGAAGCGACAAGGCGAAAAAAAATAAAAATAAAAACAGGTCTAGGCATCCTATTATAGCCCCAAATGCTACAATATGAGCCATGAAGTCAACAAAAAAGGCTGGGTTAAAATTTAAAGTATAAATTTTGAACTTTTAATCAAACCACTGCATTGATAGATGGAAAAAACTAACAACTAGGAAGAAAAGGAATTTCCTCAACTGTTGGGGGCAAAATATGAGCATTTTTTAGTTGATTCAGAACCAGAATTTTTTATTTTTTTTTTTGCAAATCAGAAAAAAATGAAGAGCCGAATCCGAGAACCAACAAATTAAATTGGTGTGGCCTAAGATGCTTCATAAATCTTTCTAGAACTAGACAGTTAACGGGGAGTGCCCTAATTCTGACCTACCCCTAATTCCATACTACTACTAGTAAGATACCACCGGGCCATTTATTGTATATTCTTATATGTTGTTTGTTATGTATAGTTGATGGTGTTAAATTTTATGTGTTAGACTTAGCGTTCCAGGCTGTGTTAACACATTGTCAATATTTTTTATAACATGTACCCAAAAACACGTAATGACATGAAATTCTATTTAATCTGCCGCAAGGAACTCGTAATGAAACTCAGAATGACAACCGGAACAGTTAAATCAGACGTTAAAAATAACCGGTAATCAGTGTTACGACGTACAGTCCTGAGGAGGCAAAACGCAGGCACAAATATTTCGATCAAGAACATTATAAGTGACTGGGGTCTGAAATTTTACATACAGATCATGCTTGATAATTATAGTATGTCAAATATACAAGGATTTACAAGAAGTTGTAGTCATATAGGCAATCTGTTCACAACATGAATTTTATACCATTAACATTGTAACTGTACTGTTGTAAAGAAATGTCTCATGCCTCACTCTTTCAGGTAAAAGTGTCATACCTCATGGTTGGCCATACCCACGAGGATATTGACCAACTATTCAGTAAGGTAAGAGGGAACATCTGATTATTATTTAATATGATACGGTATTACTTTTTAGTAGTTGTTTGCATGACTCTTTTCAGGCTTCTAGCCATGGCCAGCACCCGCAGAAACTTTCTGACTGGGGACAAAGTTTTTTAATCCAACCTTTTTGATACTATTAGAAAAAAATAACAAAATCTTTAATAGAAAGAAGGAAACATTCATTTGATAACATTGACCACCAACAACCACTCTCAATCCCATGATTTACTAGTACCTCTCAAAATGTGGGAAATTGCGTTTTCAAAGGCTTGATTTGTGTCCTGTTGCTGCTGTATATTAAATGCAGGTAACCTTATACCCCAGACCTGTACGATTATTTCCCTCGCCATTCCACTTGAGTATAGCATAATTAGAAACTTTGAACATAAGAGGTTACTAAGTGTTTTCTATTGACACAAGGAGGTATTCATATTTGATAGGCAATGTATCACACATAGGTCCTTGTCTCATATTAGGCACATCACAAAGCAAGACTTATGATTAAGTTAGAAGCCAACTTTTGTAGTACATGTACTAGTATAATTAGGAAGTTTAAAAGAAGCGGGTTTTTAAGTCTGTAAATAATTGGAAATGCTTGCCCAAGGCCTAAGAGGCAATTTCACATTTCATTTCACCACATTCCACATTACCAATTGTAACCAGTTACAATTTCATTTAAAAACCACAGTGTTTCAAAGCCATTTTAAAGCATTGTTTGAAATGTTTAACAATATTTGTGCATAATTGTGAAACATCTCAGACTCACTATCTGGTTTAGTGTCTGTTGTTCCTATCCTGAAACCCCTGTCATGCCTCACCCAGTTAGATTTAATCCTTTTCTCTAATGGCCCTAATTACATATGAATGCATCTATTGTGATTAGGCTTGTTATCCCCTAGACACAAATGACACATAGATCATTGGCTTCTTTAGAGATGGGTGGCAAAAGGGAGGTGAGGTGATTATCCCATCTTGGTGATAAAGTTAACAAGTTCCAAGCATCAAGTTAGTCTTTAGTCAGATTGATGTACTAATAGACATGTGAGAGCTTACAGCAGGGTTTATAGTTTTATGTTCCATTCATTTATAAGTGAACATCTTCTTCATTATTCTTCGTAAATCGAAACAATCTTTTTTTCTTCAGATACAATCGCTGCTGAGGAGGAAGTCTGCAACCACAATGGATGCACTGCTACAAGTGATAGAGGAGAGTTACACTCCCAAGCCCAAAGCGACAACAATACATGCCAACAGCATGTTTGACATCAAAGACTGGCTGGACCAAGAGATGTCTGACATGGACCACCACAACCTCCCCCATGCTTTCAAAGTGCAGAAAGAGAATGGGGAGGTCTGTATGTACTACAAAATGTGGTCGTCAGACAAATCTTGGTCCCTGCCAACACCAAAGCCAGGAGTGAGTCATCAGGTACTAGTAATCATTTACTTGATATCTGAAAAACATTTTCATTAGGCTACTATAAACTTATCATTTACAGGAACGCTTTTCAACATTAATTACATTTAAATCATAAGCGTTCCACATAATAAGCAGCTTAGATCACTACATCAGTACATGACAATTGTGTTTACATCTCAAGTGATGGAAACTGATAATTTTTTCAGGCACCCTTAAACCATGTGCCAATGGGCCAGCCAAAACTGCAGAAGCCAAATCCGTATGTCCACCAAAGGAAGCTGTCTGCTACAGTAAAAAAGCTGTCAGATGTCAGCAAGTTGTCCGCGGAAGAAACAGCTTGGTGGGCAAGCTTCATCGCCGACATCTCAAAGCCAAAGGCCCCAGAAGAGAGAGGAGACTGGGGACTTCTCCAGCTGGGAAGCCACTCTAATGCAACACATGGAGATGAAGACGACATGGAGCTGCTACCACTACAGTTCACCATCAATCAGATGATGGAAAAGCATTACCAGCAACCAGAGGTAATAATCTTGGTTCTATCAATCACTGTGGTATTAGATGTTGAAGTACAGTGGAAGTGCTGAAGCAAAACCAAAAGAAAAACAAAACAAATAACATGCACAGTATGGCAGAGTAGCTTGAAGTTCATGTCGTGCACTTTCCATTCACCAAGTTAAACATAAAGTTTACATGACAATTAATAGACCGTACGTGCTTTACTTATTTACAAATTACAGTAAAAGTAACCACCTCTTCAAGCTGTGCACCTGGCCATGACCGCTTTTTCTTAGACCCCCCCCCCCCACATGTGACCAATATATGACCAGTAGAAATCTTGACTCGGACGCCATTTTTATGTCTCAGTCATGTTGTGAGGCCACCCTCTTCAAGGAGACCACCTGTCCAAGGTGACCGCTTTTCTTTGGTCCCCTGGGTGGCTGCTTTGGGCAGGTTTGGCTGTAAATTATAATCAAATTTCAATGAAATCTGTGCACTGATTTATGGTTTGCGGTGTTATTGTTTGCACAGGTCTTCATTGGCTCCAAAGCATCCTACTTAAAGAGGAAGATGGCACTGGAGAGAAGTGCTGCCAAGAAGAAACAGAAAGACGGCACCCAGTCTGAAGCCCCAGGAACCACAGCTGCTGCTGGGAAGGGAAGAGGGAGAGGAACAGCTGCTGCTGGGAAGGGAAGAGGGAGAGGAACAGCTGCTGCTGGGAAGGGAAGAGGGAGAGGAACAGCTGCTGCTGGGAAGGGAAGAGGGAGAGGAACAGCTGCTGCTGGGAGTGGGAAGGGACGTGGCAGAACGACACCTGCTCCTGGGAAAGGCCGTGGAAGAGGGAGAATGACAGCTGGTACTGGGAAGTGACATGGGAGAGGAAGAACCACTGGCAAAAATTAAGCATTAACGGGGGATGCCCTTACACCAAATGCTTTTTTACGCATTTGAAGTCCATGGCACTCCATCCCTAGTTGTAAGAGAGTGGTCAGATTTTGATATATGGATTTTGGAAACATTCATGTAAGATATTTGGATAAGAAATGCACTCATGCTGTTCAAGAACCCTTCATTCTCCCCATTCAAGAGACAAACGGTGTGAGATATTTTTGTGAATATATCTTCATGAATGTGGTATGCTAGACAGTCCTATCTTTGCATGCTTTTGTAGTTTTGCTGTCTTCATAACTCGGTGATGAATTCAATTAAATGAAAATAATAACTTAATTTTGTGATATTTCAGCTTTTGTTTGATGGTAAAATTGTGATTCTGTATACTTCTCGTGTCAAGCGAGGAGGGTAGTATCAAACACAATCAGTTCAAGACTTGTTTAAAGTTACAAGTTTCTAGTACTCAAGTTTGAGCTTTTTAATTTCATAAATAGATGTCACATGAGTAGACGCATTCAAATCTACCACTCTAAAGCAGGCAAATGATGCAGTGACACAAGTTTTCAGAGTAAAATACTCAGTGACATCAACCTCCCTGATCTAGACCAATAGACTAAGTGCAAAAAAGTGTTTTGTAGAAATATTGGAAAAGCTTGCAGACAACAGTAGAATATCTATTGAAATGGCTGCTGGACTGGATACCACTGCAAATAAAAATGTTTTTGAATATTGGTGAGACCAATGTTTCAACTACCTGACTTATCCTCCTTGCCAAGACTGATAGACTTTTAGCCAGACCATGGGCTGCTCTAGTTAAATTGACGCAAAAATACAATATTTTCTTATCATATTTAGCAAATTGATTTTCAATAAATGTACTCTATGAACGCATTTGTACCAAATGTACACTCTTTTCCTTTTATTTCACACCGTGCAACATAAAAATCTTCTGGCACCAGTTCACCAGTGCAACCAGAAATACAAAGAATCACTAATGGTAATAAATGTAACATGAAAATGTGCCAACTGGCACATACCCTATCACCACTTCTCACTTTGTCCAACAGCATGATACACACCTACTTAAGCATAGCATAAAAAAGCATAATACACACAACAGTCAATCAAACAAAGTTCATGTTAAATTCACCAGTAGTTAACCTTGAATTCATCGAACAGCATGTTTAGTCGATGAGCTGTGGCAATAGACATACGCCAATACTGTCTGGTTCCAGTTCCAGATGGAGTCATCTCCACATCCTTATCTATGATGCATTTGATATTTACTATGAGTTTATCCGTTAGTGATGGCCATTTATACACAAGAGGTATCCCTGTCTGTAGAAAGCTAACACAGGCCTTATTGCCTTCAGTACCCTCTAGCTTGGCAATATGCCACCCCTCTGGCACTTCTAGTGCAACGGCTACCCATCTATCCTTGTCCAAATCCATTTCCGTCATCAGGCTGTCAGTTGCGGTGTCGCGATCTCCTTCGCCGGCCTTTTCGGAGTGAGTTTCCGTCATCAGGCTGTCAGCAGCGGTGTCGCGATCTCCTTCGCCGGGCTTTTCGGAGTGAGTTTCCGTCATCTGGCTGTCAGCAGCGGTGTCGCGATCTCCTTCGCCGGCCTTTTCGGAGTGAGTTTCCGTCATCAGGCTGTCCCGGTCGTCTGTGTCTTGAAATGCCTGATAGGCATCAAGTTCACCTGTGAAAAATGATTCAAAAAATTCTCAGGTCTCATGTTCAGCTTTACTTCATGCACTGAGTGGTTGACTCTTGTTAAGTAACAGTTTTTAGAAACCAGTTCAACAATCCTATTACAATGTAATTTACATCCCTCATACATGTATAACCAAAAAGATAAAGATACACACAGCTTTTATAAAAAGTGTTTCCACATTGAGTCATCTTAATCTGACATAAGAAAAGGGTCTGTTGGCTTTGCTCATGAGCCTGTCAATAGTTACTGTAGTTGATAACTTGACAAATGGCAAAATAACACCAACCATTGAGCATTGTGCTGGAAAATCCCGGACTGAACTCATCTGTTATATGTAGACTCGGGTGACCTACATTAGAAAGTGGTTAGAATACTTTGAAATGACTGTACATAATGGATCTTGTGAGAGATTAAGCAAACATTTTACAATAAGGCCATGTTGATTTGATTACAAAGGTGAATCGTACAAACTTTCATAAATTTTTTAAAACTTTTGTAAAAAAAAGAAAAAACGTACAAAGCAGCTGCAAAATGAGCAAAAATATGCACCAGCACTGTACTGCTGGAGGTGAATTACTAGTTTCTGAAGATTGATTAATGTCACATTGGAAATTGTTTCACTCACATGGCATTTTGTATTTTTTCTCTTCTGTCTATCTTCAAAGTAGCCCTCTTGCTTACATCTTGATGAACATTTCAACCTACACACTTCTAAGATTGGAGATACATTTTACATATAATGATATGAACATAAACTTTAACTTAAGGCCAGTTTTTGTATTCTCTTATTATGATCACCATTCTTAGAACAGTGCAGAACTGAGTGAAGAAAGATTATCTATTCAGATACAAAATGCACGGCAGTCATTTACCTTCAACTTTTGACAGCGAGAGCTCCATGGCGAATCCTCCAGTTGTGGGATCCAGAAATGAATCAATCTCTAGCATCCTCTGAAAAGATTTACATAATTTATGACTTTTAGAACTGGTTCACAGGATAGCATGGCAAGTAGAACATTCTTTTTTACAATAAATGGCTGCCCAGTTTATGCTTTATGACTTATGTCGTCCAGTGGGCAGTTTGTGAAAGATATTTTACTGATAATACACAGCAAGGGGATGTATCTTAAAGATTGCTATGTCCTATTGTATCACAAAAGAGTTAATTCACTTCACATTGTGAAAATATGACAAAAGACACGTACCTTGATGTAATAAATCTTTACATCAGCCTCCTCGTTGGAATTTGCAGTTTGTGCAACATCAACAGCAAACATCCGGAGCTGAGTTAATTCTGCCTCCAGTTCCCTTATTGTCTCTCTCTGCTGTGCTGCTTCCTGTGGAACACAGTAATCATTGATCAAGGTTATGGGATGTCATAACAAAGTGTATAACACGGAACAAAGTCACATGGGTTGCTTACACAACATTGTTGAGTCACATGTCTTTTCAATCAGTGTGTCTTTGATGTACCAGGTATATTATGTATTTTGGCCCAAGCTATTCCAGGGCCTGTACCTAATATCAGTTCATGTAAATTAGATAAATACAGCAAAGGCTTGATATGTTTTTAGATGACTTTTAAAACAAACTAGAAAAAGGTGAGGAGGCTTTAAAACCTTAAGGTTACAGAATACACATGCTTTCCACCTACAAATAACAGTCAGTCCACACATAACAGTCAAGGGAATGATAATTATTGAATTATTAGACAGTTCATGCTACATACCTCCAGAGTGATCCCTTGCTCCTTTAGGGCTTTCAGCTGGCTCTTCATCTTCCTATATTCATCCACCATTTCCCTTGTTGTGGGGAGTTTATCCTTTTCCTGTGAAGCAAATTAATGAATTTTGGCTTTAACAGGAACAGGCAAAAGCACGTTGACAGTGTAGTCATACAAATACCTGATAAATAACTGATACTTCTATTTAAAAATTCACCAATTCATAAATACATATAATAATGTTTTCACCCTGTTGTCATTTTATCTACATAAAACAGTATGTTTTGTTGAATGAAATTCCTAAGAGTCAAGTTAAAAGGGTCGAGAACATTTTGTACAGTCATGGAAATTTCTGTGTTAAAAGATTTAAGATGCCTATAGTACTACTAGTTGACATTAGGAAAGCTCACCTTGTCTTGATTTACACTGTTAATAAGTGTCTTCACGTCCAGCTTGGCCCCACAAGCAGACTCTGCATACGTTGACAGTACAGCATACATATCAGGCTCTGACAGTCCCTTCAAGGGACTGAACAAAACCATTGAGGCCCTCCTCCCCTTAGTCACAATTTCATTTGCCTGACACAGCTTGAAGATGTGCAGGACTTTTGCCCAGCATCGCTTGCTCAGTCGTGCCACAAGCCTGTACTCTTTCGCGTTGTTGCATACCTGACGGTACTGAAAAAGGAAAGTATGTACATGTAATTTAAGTTAAAGGCTTAACGTAGTTAATTTCTATTCACAATCAGATACCACCAAGCACAATCATCCCAGGACCTATAACAGCCTCCTAACTAATTCCAGACTTGCAGTTTCATTCCAATCTAATTCCATATCTCAGAAACCTTACATCTAGATGGGCTAATATTGTAAATTATGTAATTAAAAATACAAACATTAAGATGATATCATGGATGGTCACCTGATTGTATTGGAGTATGCTTGTCCATTGGGCCCTCACTGTGGCTGACGGTGCAGGCAGGCACTCATTGTCACCCAGCTCCTCATATGCATCCTTTATATCGGCTATGAGGGCTTTGCGCATGGCGATGACACCATCTTGGAAATCCCTCTTCTTGGCATTTTTTGGTGTAGACAGCCGCTGCCGCTTTGCTGGATTCACTGGTACCGTTTCTTCCTCTTCCATCTCTTTGGCAGACTTCCCTGTAATGGACAGATATTGTGATGAATTAGTTTTCAGTTGTTGGTTCCAATAATCTTGAATAAGGGCTTAGCCTAGCAGAAGCACACCCAACACTGTACTGCCTGATGCGCATGGGAGACTAGGCATGGGAGGAACTAGCCATGGGTGTTTTTGAATTTCAAAATAATCCAAGGAAGTTTTTTTTTTTTTGCTAAGTGACAATATATCGTCATGTTGTTCTAGATTACGTTCTTAACAAATGAAGACTTTTATAAATATTTGAAAGTTCATTGGTTAAAAGTTTGGTAAGTAGTACCTGGGCTTTTCTGAACAGACATCTGCTGTCTCTTTGCTGGGAGGTTTACCAATATGTCTTCCTCCTCTTCTTCCATCTCAGTGGGAGCCTTAGCTGCAATAGAGAGATTTTTTACAAATTAGGTTTTAGGATTGATTGTAACATCTCTACATCAAGTATTTCTGTTGATAACTTAAAAACTTTATGAAATTCAACTGGTTACCTGGGGTGCCACCAATAGTCGTGATGTTGATTCTCCTTTGTGTTTCACGTTTCTGTCTTATGTTCCTGGTGACCTTCTTAGGAGATTTTACTGCAACAGAAACAACATTGCTGTCAATATCACTGTTTCAGGTGGCACTGGTTCAATGGGGTTTGTCAGGACACATTATGGGAGAATGGCAGGCCACTTGACAGGTCAACAGACATAAGTAGGAATTCAACTGTGGTGTTATATTTCCTGAACATTCACTAATACGCCAAACAGTCTGAAATCTCATGATATCTTGTTTCCTTACTGAGATACCACTAGGCTACCTTCCATATATTTAGATGGCATATTCTAGCAGATGTGCATGCAAAATTGTTAAAAAAAGAATATATTACCTGGACTCCTTGAAGCCCTGCTTGTACCTGCCACAGACTGAAAGAGTTTAACTGGAGAACCGAGTAGAACAGCACCTAAGGTATTCTCTAAAATGATAAAAACAATTGAGAGAAAGTTAGTGTGTTTGATATTGTATAATCATTGTTATCAGTTTCATCAAAATTGGTATTTGTGATACGGTTAATTATTGTATTTCTTTTGAAGTTGCATGGCTTGTCAAAAACATACAGCCAAGTGGTAATGAAGGAAACAAAATTTGAAATCTAAATACTTTCTCTGGTATGCAGGGCATAAACTTTAAATAGTTAACCATAACAAATTAAGTCCATTCATTAATACATGTACAAAATCTTACCTGGCCGTGGAGATGGCTTGCATTTTTGGTTGCTGCTCACTTCTTGAAGTGGCATTCTGGTGTCATCAGACTGTAGTTTAGTTTTCTGTGGAATATAAATCATTATAAAGCAATCTAAACCATTCAATACTGTACATCATTAGACCTCCAACATAATTCAAGGAGACTTTCAGTAGAAGCCACAAATACTGGGGTAAGTAAAAGGAAATTGCATAATCATTAAATTTCTGATATGTACTGAGATATTGTCATTTGCATGCATTCAGCATTTCCACTGTCATTGTTTGTTTTGCTATATAATTGTAATGCATTCCCTTCTGACTATTGCCCCCCTTCATAAAATACCCCACCAACACTCTAGCTATCATAATTATCATAATTCAATCAAAATGAAAAATTCATGCACGTATGTAATGTATGCATACCCATTCTCCAAACACTGCATCTTTGATGACTCTGAACATTTTGATGAAGTCAACTTGTGACATGTTGCTGTTGAGCTCAGAAAAGCAGTTTTCTCCCTCACCACAGTCTTCTGCACCACGGAACGTTGCTAAAGGCATCTTGAGTGCCTTTTGATTTCGAACTGATACCTAAAAGACAGAACACAAACTTAGCCTTTGATTTTACTTTCAAATACATGTACAGTCAAGCAAAATTCTGATTTTAGTATCTCAAAACAATCACAGTGCCTAATTGTATGTCTTTCTGACAACAAAAGACCATGCATGGGGGTAGCTGCTCTCATTAGTATTATACATGCGTAATATACATTATTTGGGGGGGGGGGCTGCACATCTCTTGGTATTCCTTCATCATATAATGATATGGCACATGCATACTTTGTCATGTTAGCTTATTATCTGATGTATTACACGGTGTATTTAAAAACATTTTATATTATACATTATATCAATGGAGGTCTACAAAGTTAACATTCTCTCACCATGACAGAGGTTGAGTCCCCATCCTGCGGCACATAAAGATCAGAAATGTGTCCGCCCATCTGATCACTGACCCATTTGATAGACCCAGTGCTGGATATCCACTTCATGTCAACCCCATCTGGTCCATTGTCTAGCAGGCACCACTTGCCACCTTCAGACCTATGTGTCATTTTTGTTCTGAAAAATTAACAGTGATGCATCAATTAGAATAAAAAAGAGCTTTGATTGTTCATTTAAACAATCATGCAAATACTGGTACAAAAAATATTCAGTTTCTGAATCTACTCTTGCCTGGGTACCATCCTGGTTTAATTTACGTCTGCTCCCACAGTCGGTTGGTGGTAGTCACAGACTGTGGGAGCGGATGTAAACTACCCAGGATGGAACCCAGACTAAATCTACCCCAAAATGCTAGTAAAAACTTAATATTTTCAATTGGCAAAGTCCTTGTCATCCTAGTTAAATAAGTTTATACAGTTTTTCTCTGTTTATCTGAATGCAATGAAAATTTCAAAATAGTTTGAATACATTGTACACCAGCCTGGATTTCTGGCTCCAACCATAGCATTTGGGGCTATCATAGGATTTTAAGGCTTCATTGTTTTTGTAAAAAAAAAACAAGTGTCCTTAGGCGATAATTCTCCGTGAAGTTTTATATTTTGCAGATTGAGAACAGTAATAGCGTATGTAAACAGTGTGTAATCACTTAACAACTGGTAACAACGTATAGTAAAATTGGCTAAATCCCTGGTCTAATAATCTAGCCTTAGCCTGACTAAAAAAATCGCGCTCCTTGTGGCCACCTGCCCAGAGGTTTGCCGCCCCTTAGGGAAACAGTTGCAGACTAAGTCTAAACACAGGCTACATGAAATGAACAACACAACAATCCAAATAGATGAACAAAGTCTGCTTTCATAACAATACATGACAAGGTATCACAGTAGGTGCAAACCACAATCCGAAAAGATACTCGCCACCATTATGCACAACAGTCACCTAATATCTGCTTAGAGAACCTCTGCTACCAGACAACTGCCTAAACCTACAGCCTATTGCACAGGATTGTAAAAGTACTACTGGGATGTTTCTAAAATATGCATTTACTTCAATATCAAAACTGCTACAGTGAAAATAAAAAGATGTGCATCATCACGGACATAATGCCACACACAACATGCGAAATTACACAGAAATGCGACGTACAGAACAGTGCGTTTTGGCTGCGAACATCTTCCAAAAACCTTAGCATCTCTTAATAAGCACGGGGAAAAACATCTGGAACCACTTATCGGGCCCTCACCATACCTGCGTGAAGTTTGGACTCCCACCCCGCTATTCAAAACAATGGGTTTTCCTGGACCATTCCAATTTGCCTCACAATTGTAGGGGTGCATTTGAAATATTACTTTGACCGCGAAAGCAGCAACGGGAAAAATACACATTTGTGCATCATCACGGCCATGCCCGCAGACGGCGTATAAAATTGCATGTCAATTACGCAAAGAGAACCCAGTGTTTTAACTGCGAACAAACGGCTACTCACAACACTCTGTCTGGAGGTCCAGACCTCCTTCACGGAGTAAAAATCAGAGAATACACCAACAGATTAACCTTGTGTAGCCTAATAGTAATAAATACATGCAGAATCTGTATACAGAACACAGAACTTAGAACAGGTGGACGTAGGAACTTGGCTACAAAAACAAAAGCATCCATTGGCGAGAATTTTTTTGTGTGAAAATTGGCATGTAATCTAAATGGAAGAAGTGAGACTGGCTTTGGAACTGGGAAAAATTTGTGCTGATTTACTGTTGTTTGTTTAGGTGCTGGTCTGATGTTAGAGGTTCAAAATCAATGTTCTGTGCAGTAACTGCAAATTTGGAGCATGCAGTTAAACTTGAATGAGTTAGGTCAAGTACCCTGTACATATCATGTTCCACTAAGGTTCCATTCATTATTATTGGTTCATAGCTTTGTTTTATAATTTGCATATCTGTAAGGCTCTTTAGCATAACAACACACAGGAATGTTTCCGGCAGCATTACAGCACAAAGAAATGTTTTTGGCATGCGCTTAGTCTTAAAAAAACAAAACAGAAATCTGAGAAAATACATACAATTGGCTTTTTCAAATACTAGTACTAAATTTAGCTTGAAGTTCTTTACTTGATCTTTTACGTCTCCATGCAAGGACATTGACATCTCTGATCATACACTGAAGAAATATTTTTTAAAAAGTGAGCTATGATAGGGCTGGCTGCTAAATTTACTTTGGAGCACTCAGGCAAATTTGTAGAAGTTACACAATCTAGAAAATTACCGGTAGCTCCTCTGCTAACACAATTTTGCACTACATGATCCAGTAGTAGTTTATGATCAGTCTAAACTGTAGTGTACTGTGTATGAGCCAGTCTTAACTGTGAGTTACTTATAACCCGCAGGAGGAGGAAAATGTTAGATAGAATTAGAAACAAGTTACTGTGCTCTAGTAGAAACATTGTCAAATCTTTTTATAAAAACAAAGAAGTAAATGCAACTTACCAGCAGCTGGTCAACACACTCCCCCACTTGTCGGTGGTAGTCCCTCTCTCTTGAGGAAAATTGCTAACTTGTCACTCAGGGAAGTATCCACGGCTGCTATTGAGGGAAAGTTTTACATACAAAAATCTACTGCTCCTTTCACTGCGCTCTGGAAAAACTGACTGTCATGGCTCAAATTCCAGCATAAAAGAAAGAAAAAGACAGGACAGGTGTGAATTGCATTGAACAATGTGGGATATCCCATTTTTTCCAAGTTATATTCCAGACTAGTAGAAATTTTAAACGGTTCATATCAACAACTAAGAAATGTGTCAATGTGATGATTTTATGCAATAATGTTGTAATAATGTTGAAAATACTCCAGAACCTATAGAACACAGAGTTGGTGACTGGGAAATTCAATTATTTCTCAAATGTCACCCCCGCCCCTAGATGTTTCCAGCCCAAAGTGTCTCCCAGATTTTACAGAGATTCAAGTACATGTAATATATGTTTTGATGTGTAAACAAAAAAATCAAGTATTTCTTTAAGTATTTCTTCTTGCTTGGAATTTAAATCTTAGCGTAGGACTCATGAACCAAGTAGGCTATTTAGTAGGGCATTAACAACAAGGTTTTAAAGCAGCTGTTTGATGATTTGTGTTTCTACAAAGTGGCTATGAAAATTTCAAGAGTTAAACAATGCAGCCAATTAACTTGTCTGCCATTAGGCATGACAATGGGACAAAATACACACTCAGTCACATGTTTTTTTTAGCCGTAGATATTGTTAGACCATAGAAATACTTTGCACTTAGTAAAATCATTAAATTTATGATCTAACTGCCTAGTTTTACCACATGCTATGAGCATGATGCCTCTAAACAGTAATATCTGTTAAGAATATAGTGAGTCCTAAATTTGTATCGCTTGTGTTGTGTATTTTTCATGACAGACAGACTTTATAACATTCCATGATTATAACAAGCTCAACAAGGGACATCCTTGCTAGTCTCCAAGCAGATCATATGGTCAAATGTTGGCCAATGGATACTGTCTGGCCAATTTGCTACTTGATATGTTTGCAGCCTCAGAAAGATCTGCTTGGAGATTACTCCTTGTGCCAAGGAGGTTGCTTGCTGCAGACAAAGGATAATTTAGAGAAAAGCTCCCTTATTATTGTGACAATTGTCTTATATTGCTCCCATTTTTAACCAGCTAAAGCATTTTGCGAATGACTGTTTTCAGCTGCTGGAAACATTCAGACTTCAAAAGCTATTTATATGTCGAGTTGTAATGAAGATAGCATAACAGCACACTAACATGTTTTTGTGGCAGGAATTGTTAGAAAACTCATGGCAAGTCTGAGGATTAAAGAAGAAGAACTAGTACGTAACTATTCTCACAAATATATGAATACCGTCGCCAGTGTATTTTGGTCATAGCACCCGGGTGATCTTACATCTGAGTTGTTACAATTACATCTGATTCAGTATCTTACCCAGGGTATAAGGGGCACTTTAGACTGACGACGGTTTGATAGTCGTACGAATGTTTATCGTCAAGATGTTGCCGGCGACGGTATTTTACCACCGTCTAAAGACGATCAAAATAGTCGCACGACGGTAATCCTGGAATCGTCGTCACTACCACCTCGGACCCTATCGTGCGATCCTTCAGCGGGGGGTCCGAGGAGGATTTTCGACCGTCTAAAGTGAACCGTCGCCGGCGAAGAAAGTGGGAGGTCATTGGCCTTATGCAAATAAGCCTGCAAGCGTTATTTCATGTCCAAGCACATTGCTTGTATTATTAAATGTCTTCAAACCAAAGACTTTATATCGTCATACATGTCTACGGTACAATCCCCTGTCATCAATCGCTACTTCTCCAGTACGAACCGATCCGCCGATCCACATTTCCCGGCCAATGTAGCCAGGCCGACGGCAGCACCGAACGTCGCTGCTCAGTACATGTGCCATATACCCCTTCTCAAACTCGGCGTCTCATCAACAGGACAACGAGTTAAAAGCAGAATGAAAACAATCTGCTGCAGCATGCCGAAAAAGGGGTTCTCTCACCATTTTGAATTGGCGCGCGGCGTGCCATCCTGCGCTGCGGGTGTCCGTCACATTTTCTGGTCATGTGTCTAAAGCCAGCCGTCGCCCACAATGATTGTCTTGCGATCGTATGTCGTCGTCAGTCTAAAGTCGGCCTAAGTCGAGCAATAACTGAATAAGGAGGCCCTCCCACTGTAACCTTCCCAGCAGTTTGAGTAGTAGTAGATAATTGACCCCATAAATCCATTATTATAAAAATGCTTGTCTATCCTTCAGAACAAAGGCAAGAGCAGACTTGCATACTGCTCAAAACATTCATTGACAAATATATTCCCCTACAGTGCAACATTATTAAATCTTGCAGAATGAGACTGCTGCTTTATACAAACGGTTACATCAAGAAAATTCTATCTGTAACTTTCACTGGTTGTAAGATCCATGTCCGTCTTCAGATTCCAACTCTTAAATCAACCCTGTCAAAGTTTTATCTAAGGACCTTACTATATACTAGTCATGCCCTGTATTGAAGTGTCTACCTGTAGCTAGTACAGTACTTGAAACTTGAAATATATATGATCTCACAGCTGAATTAGCTTTCATTTTTTGACAGTTCTGTGTCTGAAATATGGCTTGTAAATGTGGGGTCTACTTGCACTTTTAAGATGCAGTCAGATAAACCAGTAATGTTATACTTAGTAACTGGCTATGCCAGCCAATGCTGTAAGCACTTACATTGTATATTGTGGGTTACTGGTAAATCTAACATCATCATGCCATTGTGCAACAATACAATTTCTTACCTACTGTCTGATCTCAAATGTGTAACTTGTACTTGACGAGCTAATCTGTCTTTACGGCTGCATTTACTAGGGCCATACTGAAGTCTGGTAGTTTATATATAATATATATTATGGAACTAGTGTCGTGTAACTACTAAGTTAATGTACAGCTTTTACAGTAAGTGTTTTTAGTCTCTTCTTTCTTTTTTTACCCTTACTTGGCTGAAAGGGGCAAATAACAATAAGATTGTTAACAGAAGAGTGTGGATCCTTTATAATTATTTGCCCTGATAATGTGGATTTTGCATAACAGTTGGATTGGATGACTGTCTGAGCTCACACCGTCGGGGTTTTGTGCTCACCCCGTCGGGGTAAACTTGGCTCCGACGGTGTGTATAGACTGATCATTTCACGCCTTTCCTGGCTTTGTTTTGGGATTTTGCACCTCTATGACCAAAACTGTAACCCCGTCGGGGTGACATTACCCCGTCGGGTTTAGTGATTATGACAGTGTCACCCCGTTGGGGTGAGTACTTTACACCGACGGGGTATGTACTTTACACCGACGGTCCTGTCATTTGGTCCTGACGGGGTAGCTGTTAGCCCCATCGGGATGTTAAAAAACCCGACGGTCTGCTTGCATTTTCTATAAATGATATCTAAAGTTATGAACACTGCAGAACAATAATTTTTGTATCACTTTACTCCTTATACCAAGAGCTATGCACTCATGTCAAACTTGAATGTAAAACATTAATTTTTACTTGAGATTCCAAATGGCCAGTGATTTTCCAAAATCAAGGTGACCAGTGTTATTAGGCTTAGAAAGAAAATGTTTCCTGCCAAAACTGCCAACCCTAGCCTTTTTTTGGGTGAACCCCAGCAAAAGACCTAACTTTTCTTTGCTCCATGATCTGACACCTGAGTGAAGAAACGTTGTACAATTAGTTTTTCTGCATTGATATTGAAAATAAGAGTGTCCTCAAGCAAGTTTTACTTTCTTAGACTGTCCAGCTCAAATGTACAGTCACGTAACTATATAGATGTTACAAAAGACAACCCCTACCTACCGATCCTAATTGGAAACAATGTTTTTTTTTCTTAGGCCTTAGCAGTTCAACCAATTGTAGCATGGCAGTTAGCAGTTCAACCAATTGTAGCATGGCAGTTAGCAGTTCAACCAATGATAGTGTGGCAGTTAGTGGGTTAACCAATGAGAGAGTGACTGCATGTCCCATCATATATTTGATTTTTTTTTGCATTTCTACATTTTGACAAGTGATAGACAAAAGTTTACCAATGTTTCAATACAATGCCATTATTGTATATAATGGCAATTGGACTTCTTGGAGTCACACAAGAAATTAAACAATGTCTTGCACATTACAGGTATATCCTTGATACTGACAAAGATGCCCCATGACCAGTTAGCTGTTGGACTGCGAGCTCTGTGCCAAATACAGGCCAACAGACTGTCACAGGTGAGCAGACTGGTCTTGTGTACGAAGCATGTCTGTATTTGCTGTGTTTTGTCATCATATTTTGGTGTTTAGGGATCAACAGATAAGCTTAAACTGCAGTAGTACTAGCAAATGTATGACACAATGTCTTTTGCATGTCAAGAAAAGAACAAAAAAAACTTATTATATGTGTATATGAATATATGTATTTTTATTTAGTAGAAAACAGAAAGAATGGCAACTGCTGTTCCCTGTTTTCATGTTTTGTATCTGATGTTGCCTTTGCAACAGCACCCTCTTCTGGTTATCTGTAGCATTGCAGTTTACCAAGGAGGTTAACCTCCTTGAGTTTACCAATACAAAGTGTCTTTTAACTACAATAAAAGGGTTGGAATTAGTTAAGAATATCTGTGATACTTTGAGAAAAATGTCCTATGTTTGCTGGAAAATGTCTTCAACAGTCCAGTTTCAACTTGATGTTCCAGAGGAAAAATTTTAAGTGTCTTCTATTTTTCCCCCATTTCAGCTGATAGTCCAGAATGAGTCTGTAAAGGAAGGCACAAAAACAGATCCTACCATCTTCCTGGACAGACTAGCCTCCATATTTAGGTAAGCATTTATGCAAAACATGCTATTTTGTGCCTACTATTTGTACTATTTTTGCACTTTGAAATGATTGAATATCACTCGTGTTTGAAACCTGAAATGATTTTTCTTAGACAAAAATATTCCACATGCAAGAATGTATTTAATAAGCTATTTCAAGAAATTTGAATAAACTATTTTATGGCTTAAAAATATTTTATGAACTTTTTATACAATCATGTACATGTATAATTATCCTTCTTTGTTGTGAGGCTGCTTATTTCATCCATAACTATTAACATTAATGACTGGCATAAAATATGTAGAAATTATCAAAGAAGATATTTTTGTAAAAATTATTGTTAAACCTTATATATTAATTTTTCTTCTGATATATGTTGTTGCAAATAGAATATAACTAGTAAAAGCATGTATTTTACAATGGAACTTTTGAGTAATGTATCTCATTACATATACAAGTCTTTTAATTTTTGAGTTTGAAAATCATATTTAGTATGCATTTAGTAGTGTGCTTCTAATTTCCCACCTCATGTAACAAGACTAACTTTTGCCTCTCTCATTTTTCCCTGGTGTGATTCTACTGTCACATTATCCAAAAGTCTGTTCCAATACAGGCACACGGCCCCCGAAGTGCAAAATGGGCAGATCCACCCCTGTCAACAAGTTGTGCAGGAGGTCAGTCCACTTTTTTTTTAGAGGGGTGATTTTAACATTTGTAAAAGATGCATTGTGTTGTGATGGCGTTTTATAGCTTAATATGATCTTTTATTTGTGTTTTAAAAACCCTTAAGTTTATGTGTTTTACTCAAGCCCAGTTATAGATACATGAATATGAAATAGAAAATAGAATAATCTTTACTGTATTTGCAAAATCATACTGCAAGTCTTATTGCATGAATGTACCGTGTATAGAAAATGAAGCAATTATAGGAGACATACAATTACTGTTTTATCAACTTATACTACAGTAGCAACTAGTACTATAAGTACTACTATGTTTGCTTTGCTTTTATGGAGTTTGACTAGAAATTTGATGAAAATTATTTTGTTTTGTCTTCATTTTGTCATTATTATATTATTTTACATTACTATGTAATAGTATTCTGTCTTTCTTGTCTTGTCTCGTATCTAATTATGTCTGATTCCTTTTCCTTCTTTCCTTTGATTTAATATCTTTCTCTTATCTTTTCCTGTTTCTCTGTTTCTTCCTTTTTCACATTCTTCCCATCCTTTTGATTTGGTTGTGTAGAAAGAGTCTCTTTACTCTGTGACTTACCAACCTGATGAAACTATTCCCACAGGTGTGGCCCGTTTTGTCAGATACGTGTAACAAGTACCAGGCAGACATCAGGATAGTGGAGCGATGCTGCAGGTGTATCAGGTTTGCTGTGCGCTGTGTTGGCAAGCAGTCAGCTGGGCTACTGCAGCCTCTCGTCACACAGGTAGGTTCAGAACCCGACTAAATCATGCCCCTACAGCGTGCAAGTTTTACTTGGGGCAACCTATTTTTCAACCTAGGTAGCCCAGAATTTTTAAGAAGCCCCCCCCCCCCAAATCATACCCACTTGGCTTACCCACTGTATCCGGCAGATGCTTTTTAATTTCAGGCTATTACTAGTATCAGTTAACTAAAGGCTGTTAGAAATATCGTCAAAGGCTTATGTACTATGTAAATATTACTTAATTTAAGGAAAGTAGTAACTTATTGGTGAGGCAACCTACATGTAAAATTCTGATGGGCAACCTGGTTCAAAAAAGTATTTGTACTGAAACTTGTACACTGAAATTATGCCCCAAGCATCCCTCTCTAGTTCTCACTAGGCTTTTGGCCCCCTACGCTGTGATTTGGACCTGCTACTCTGTGATTTAGCCCCCTACACGTACACTGTTTCAATCAGGGTAGGGATTTTTTGGGGGGAGAACCTTCAACAAGCCTCCAAGAAAAACAAAGATACAACCTAAGAATGAAGCTATAACAAAGGGAAGACAAAAGATGTCCCCCAATAAGCAATAAACAGTGTCTAGATAGTGTCACCCTTTTGAATTGTTTTCACCAATCTATTGTTCTCACTTGTCTATTGTTTTGACCTATTGTTCTCACCTGTGCATTGTTTTCCAGATGGTGAATGTGTACCAGGTGCACCAGCACTCGTGTTTCCTGTACCTGGGGAGTATACTGGTGGATGAGTATGGGATGGAGGAGGGCTGCAGGACTGGACTTCTCGACATGTTAAAGGTTCCATTTTTTTATTCACAACATATATTTATTGAGTATTAGTCAAGAAGGACAGTTGATAATATGACATGTACACCTGCTACTCAAAAACATAAAAACGAGAGTAAAACACAAACATTATGACAAAATACATACATAATTACAAAATAGGTAAAACAAAAATGAGTAAAAGCAAGACAAGTCAGTGATCTATCAATTACGAGAAAAGACCTGCATAGTAAATAAAGGTTTAAACTACATCAAAGACAGTTTTGTGAATTTGAAAGTGTCGTAGACCCTCATAGCAGTAAAGAACATAAAGTACTGTCATTGAGATGCTGTCAAGTGAATTCTACTTACCATTCTGTATATCCTGTTTCTTGTCATTTTATACAATTGATATACATGTGTATTCAGAAAATTGTCAAGACCAATTGGCAATTGAGTGTTTGAGTTTTCTCTTGCTTGTTTTTCTAGGCATTTTGTGGCCCAACTTTCCAGTTGCTGAAAACAGGAGGGCTGCGAAATCATCCCGATACAATCGACGATCTCTTTAGGTTATGTGCCAGGTGTGTTGTAATGTGCATCTTGTAACATGTACATGTAGCTATATACCAGGATAATATTATAGTATATATGCCCCTTCCCCCGATAAACATTTCACCAAATATATATAATACAATTATGGTGTGAATAGACCAAATATGGTTATAATGATACTTGTGTTTCATTTCATTTCATCTGTCAAATACTCATGTGTGGCAGCAATAATTGTATATAATACGGATATTTTTTAATGAAATAGTAAAAATGTTTTCTTCATAATTATCAAAGCATGTTGTTTGATATGATTTTTCTGCTTCAATATTTGTATTGATTATTTCATATGCATCATCGTGGCATCTGTGCATGGTTCTGTCCAGCTGTAGATTCTATATTCTGCACATTGTGGCATGATTGGATAAATTTTCTACAAATTACACGTTCTAATACACCAGAAATTTTGCCCAAAACTGGATCCAGGGCAGAACTTTGCGCACGTGTACACAATTTGTGTGTTGAAATTCACCCAGGGTTCGACAAGTTCAAATAGCGCAGGACCAGCAAAAGTGTCAGCATACACTGTCATGTTCTTTCCTGATCAATCATTTTTCATGCATAGATATGAGTCTTCTGTCAATTTTTGTGCGTTCTAAAAGCATATCTTGACTGGAACATGGCCAGAATATCTTTGATTATCATTTATCAAAATTTTACACTGAAAAAGTTGGTTCAGGCCAGTATAAATAGCCAAATGCTGGCTTTATCAGGTCAGTGAATGGAACTTTCCTATAGTCCTACCTACCTCGGTCAAAACATAGAAATGAAAAAATTTGACTGACATACAGCCACTCTCTCATTGGTCGAACCGCTAATTGTCATGTAATCATTGGCTGAACAGATAATTATGATGGACAGCCCGGAAAGATCCATATAAATTATAATTCTGAACTTGTCGAACCCTCATCAATGATCCACGGATCCTGATTTCTCGGTGATCCCCACCCCTCCCCCCCAGATTTGTTCAGCGATGCCCCCTAGTGATTCTCCATAGTGAAATGATTGATGCAATCCTGGAATGCGCGATGGCCGCGTCGACACTGGACCATAGAGACGCCAATGCCTCGGTCATGAAGTTTCTAAGAGACTTGGTGCACACCGCGATAGCCAATGATGTGAGTAGAGTAGGAACTCATGATTCGCCATAATCTTGAATGTGTCCTTCGTTCTACACAATAGACCAATCCTGTAGAGCTGCTCGCTTTAATAAAAATCAGGGCTCGATATACCAGCTACAGAGCTCAAATTGTTGAAATAGGGCCACGGTATTCACAGGGCTCAAAATACCACCTGCACTTGTCTGGTATTTTGAATCGAAGCCAGCCTGCGACACTAGGGTGACATGTGGTCAGAAATGGGCCCGAAAATCTAGCACCCACTCTCTCATTGGTTGAACTGCTAACTCTGATTGACAGCCAGAATTGGTCTATTGTATGAACCTAACAATAGCTGTGCAAAAAAAGATTTTTGGAACTGTTCACAAATTTGCATATACCATAAGACACATATCCTTTTATAGATCTGACGAACTATCTATTGAAAATATATTTTTTGAAATTACTGTAACTTGATTTTAAAAAAGACTTGATTGAACATCTGGTGGCTGTTACCCTGACCAATACGGTCGACTGATGATTTTGATGCTGATGTTACAGTGTGATGAAGACTACCAGGTGAGGAGAGACATGGTGGATAAGCTGATGGTGGTACGCGGTCCACAGCTCACCCAGAGCCTCATGTCCGCCACTGTGTTCTACCTGCCGTCATACATGCTTCCCGACGTGGCAGACGTGGTGTTTGAACTGATGCGTTACAACAGGGCGGTGAGTAGGAAGTTCAAACAGGGTTGGACAAGTTTTTAAAAATATACTTGCCCGCTGCATGCTTTAGTTATCATGTTTGAAACTTGCAATGGATTTTCTGAGAAAAGAGCATACATGTACTTTGGATTGTCGTTATGGGGAAAATGATGAATAATTTTGCTCCAAACACCTCACTGGGTAAACTTGACATCCAGCCCGATGGGGGATATGCACTTGCCCAAACAGTGCTTTTACTTGCCCTGTCAACATTGATAGTGTACATTCTTTTTGATAATCCTTCAGGGTCTAGCCTGATTGTTATACTTACAAGTATGCCTTTCATGTTCCAAGAATTCTAGGAATTCCCTTAGGCATTTCATTGATGTCCACATCTGTTATGTTAACATCAGTTTGTACCCAAAAGTAGGGAAGTGCCTCCTGTGGCATCATTTCCCTCTGTATATATAGGTCAATGCAGGCCTTGTTATATATGTTTTCCCTAGAGATCAGATGTATTAAGCTACTGTACATGTATGCCCTGTGATGTAGTTGGACCAAATAAAAACTTAATAAGTTAGAATTTGGAAAACAAGTCTTAGAAAAGTTCTTAATACCATAATAACATTTTATCAGACTGCACTACTTTTTTGAAAGCTTTCCGTGGGCTTGGCTTAAGTTTTTCGCTTAGCCCCATTTCCATCTTGACCGCTTACCGAAGACTTAGCAAGAAATGACCAAAACAGAATATATTAAATTAGTGTGGCCTGAAGCACTATGTTGTTGTTGTTGTTGTAGAGTTTCTGTGTGTGGTTGGAACATGCCCTGAAGGCCCTTCCCACCGAGACGACCGGCGGTGCCGTCAACGCTACACACAAGCAGCTCACAGACTTCCACAAACAAATCACAAGGTACGTACACCAGGGCTCAAAATTAAAGGTGGTCCTGATGGCCACTGACCAGTAAAATTTAGGCTGGGGCAACAAAAATGACACTTTGGGACATTGTTGGGACAATAGAAAAATAATCAACATAAGAATGTCAGCCCTTCTTTTGTTTATCAGGCACACATACCGGCTTTTGGATCCGAAAAAATCCCCCCAATTTCCTGTCTACTCTGCAATTACATTGTTATAGTGCGCCTGGGAGTGAACATAAGCAAAATAAAGTTGACTTCAAATTCAAGCCGTACCATACTTACCGTGATTTGTGCAAATCTTAATATCAAGAAACATACCACTTTAACAGCATTTTGTAAGACTTTTAAACGGGATATACATGTACATACATTTTGTACATGTGTACTACGTAAATTGGAACATAATCAAGATGTGTACGGTAGGCTCTTTTGACGTCATTATGCCATGTTGGATTACAGTGTACATCTATTAAACTCACCAAAATGCTGCTACTGTAATCCTCTTACCCACCAATATGGTCACTGGGTATTCATTAGTGATAATCATTATGACGTCAATGAAAACCCCATATAGGATTATATGTATTCAGCATTTTGGATCCCATCCTATCAACCTCTTGAGATGATTGTACATGTAGCTCTTAAGCTGCAATTAAAGGAGCTAAATTTGCATAATATACCGGTAGAAAATTGAAGATGATTGACTAATTGCTGTTTGAAGTGTCTTATGTAACTTCTAAGCACCTGTCCTTTGTCCAGATGCAGTAATATTTTTCTAAAGGCACTGTCACACATTATGTAAAATCATTACTTGCTGTGGCCTAAAGGCACAGTCTGTCTGTGTCACACATAGTGTACAATTTTTTGGTTATACAATTTTCATGGAGACAGTGACAGAAAGGCAGCAAGGTTCTTTTTATTCAAAATTTATTACGAGACATGGTGACGGCACACTCAAGTTTTTTTCAACTTATTTTAATGCCACCACCAACACATACATTTAACGCATGAATAAACAACAGATATGCTCATTTTCACCTGAGTGAAGTGAGGAAATTTGTGTAAAGTGCCTTTCCCAAGGGCACAAGGTCAGTGGCATGGCAGGATTCGAACTCAGAACCTCTTGGTTCCAAGCACCCCAGCTAGATTTTTTCCATGACAGTCCTTGGCAAGTAATATCCTGGATTTCCAGTTGCAGCCATAAATTTCAATACAACGTTTTTGAGAGGGAAAGAATTACAATGACAAATTACATGTTCAATACGTGGTGACAAAGGTTAGGTCTCCAAGCGATCAGTTTGCTTCCTGACAATTTCCGACTAGACAGGATGTCAGGGACAAATTACCGTACACGTGGCTAGAAAAACTAGGGTGCAGGCAGCTTGTAGATTCTATAAATTAGCTCTAAGTGCTATCCATTTGTAGGGAATTACATGGTAGGCAACTTAAAGACATCTTGATTGTCAAATTTCCTTTGATCATCACTTACATGTACATTGTATGATATGTCCTTGGCAACTGCAAAGACTAGTGATAATGATATTATTCATGGCGTCAAAAACAAAACTCCATTTTGCTGACCTGAATTTCTTCAAAGAAGGATTAAATTTATTAAGGTGAAGGTAAGACTATTACTTAGCTAATGTGAGGATGTTGTTATGTCTTGTTAGAGCCATTGGTGTGATAAAAGTACCACACTGTCTCTCCAAAATGCAATTTTTTAGTATGAAAGTGAACTTTTATTCACATTTATTGTGAAGATGTGGTGTAACTGTGTAGCACTGTTCTGACATCTGTGCTGTCTTATGCTAAAGAAATAGGTTGCCACTAGTTGAAATGATCACCAAAACACAATTTGAAAATACAGTCGAACCTGTCTATAGTGGTCACTCAAGTCAAGGGACTGGCTAAATTTGACCACTATGGACAGGTGATCACATATATTATAGAGAAATGACCAGTTACATGTAGTTGCATCCCCCCCAAAGAAAAAGTGACACATGCTTTGAGTACCAATTTTTATAGATGTCTTTATTCTCAAAAATACTTGAAATGAAATGTATGAAAACATTCATTGCACAGGTAAGCCTATTTTAGATACTATTAGTACTTCCTGTACCTCTAATTTCTGGTTTAAAAATGGACAAACTGTAAAGTAATATCTATTCTTGTTTTTCTCCTCAGTGCTGAAGAGGTAAAGACTGTGTCGTCAGCACTGCGAGACTTTTCCCGGCTCTACAGATGACACTGATCTCGTCACCGTGAAACGTCTGGAGGAGACAAGAGTCTGCGAGCAAAGTCAACGCAAGCTGCAAAACATATTACACGTCCAAGGCATATCACTTGAGAACTTTTTTACCCTTTTTTTCAACCACCCCTCCATTTTCAAAATGTCTCAGTCCTGTTATGCATGTGCTGGTTAAAGCAGTGGGCATGACCATTGCATATAGGGGGTGTGTGACATTAAATAACTTCTCTGATGAAAACGGGATCCCAAACTTTTGCCCTGTAAATTTTTAAAGCTGTAAAATACTTGCGCTGGCAGTGGAGTTGTCATGTTTTAAATTTTGTCATGAGGAAGAAAGTTGCCGGAAACAACACAGCCATATGTAAAATGCTTCAAAAATTTCATAAGTGTTAATTTCAAGTTTTTACAAACAACAACATGTATACAAACCATTACACAATAACAACAGCCATAATTCAATTACTAAGTATATTTCTCTTGAGTTGTAAAATCATGAATAATTGCAAACTATTTTGAAAAATTGAAGACTGGTCGATTAATTTGGTCAAGCTCACCAACTTACCTTTGTCGACAGAACACTTGAAATCATGAAAAGGACTTGTTTTGTGTTAAAAGTGCTAAGGCCATTGTATTTTGACATGTTAAGAGTTATACAGTAACTATTTTCACATTTTGTACATCACATGATTTTTCATTCAGTTTTAATAACCTAAAAACAAACCATGACTTTGCTAATTAATTATGACTCAGATTGCTCTGATTTTAGGTAAGTCAATTTATATTCAAGTCAGATAACAAACAGTGGACGTAAACATTCAGGTCTTCGGAGAAAAAAAATGAGTGTTGCAAAGAAGACACAAGTATTGAAACAAAAAATGATAGCAAGTTTCTCTGAGAAATTTGAACTGAAGATGTATTTGAACAAAATTGGCTCCTTTTGGAGAGCAATTGCCAAAATAAGATACTTTTGCTATGCAAAACGTAGTCATCAAACAGGTGTAAGTTGCTTTTGAGGATAGTTTGAAGAAAAGTATGAGCAGCAAAGGATTGTTCGGGACCATTTTTATGGAAAGTAAGAGACAGAATTGTGGAATCGGTGATTTTTTCAGCTGCAAAAGTTTGCTTTAGAATGGCGCGAAAATAGTATAAATAAATTATGACGACATTTTACGGTTTCGAAAGAAAGCGGAGAAACTAATAGTGCGGTGGTCCATACTGTTTTCGAGTAAGTAAATTCGTTAGTTTTTAATTAGCAGGATAATGAAGAGGTAGAAAATTTGTCATTTTCGTTGTTGTTAGATTGGCACGAAGGCTTCCCTGTATCATATGTTACTGTGCCAATCTGACAAGCATAAACCTGTTGCAATCCTAATTCAAAATTTGTGTCTGTGTCTTCGTTTTCTCTGTGCCTCAATTGTGCAATAGCACAGAACATGTACTATGTGTTTTTAAGTCATCTGAAGTCCTATTCACGTATAACTACTTTTACTCTAGTTATGTAAACGCTATCACTGTATGTGTATAATGTTAGGTATTCGTTCATTTGTCATCGTTCCTTCTTTACCAAACATTTTTGCCAGTAATGACGTTTTAGGTTTCAATTTCCAAACGAGAAGAAGTGAAAATTCTGCAATACCATCTTTACCACCCCTTTTTGTGTTCTGGTCTCATCCTAGTGATAGCATATTGTACATGTGTGTGACCCTAAGTTTGGACCGGCCTATGATGCGACAAAGGGGGTATTAGCAGAGATAAGAGCAAAGAATGAACATCAAATGGCCTTGGACATGAAACGATGTCATTTGTCAACTGTTTACATGTATTGTCTGCAACCACAATGACCACAACAATTCTTACTGTGTTTTGGGGTTCTGTATGGGGGGAACTTAAATGGTCAAAGAGAGCAAACCTAGCTATGCCAATGTCCTATTGCATTCAATGTATAGCTACTACCTGGAAACCAGAACAACTGTTTATTTCCTCTCATTTTTGTCAAAACACATGTATTTGAGTCAGTATGGTCCCGTTATGTGCATTTTTGTTATCGTCCAATTTTAGCTTTTTTTTATTGTCCAAGAACAAAACAGGTTAATTTTGAGCCCAGCTTTACTGTACTATTGACTTGGGTCGTTTCATGAGTAATACAGGCTATTGAAATCCAAACTTAGTCAAAACATGAATTTTGATTTAAAAGGGAAATAACTGTTTGGCAGACTTTCATATTCCACTCACTGTCTTTTCAAGTCTTTAACGGTATCTGAATAATTTTTTAACAGTGTACTATTAGTCTTCTTTAGTTGATTTTATATCTATGAACCGGTAAATGAATCCTAACTTAAAACACAACCGTCTTAACACAACTTTGTTGGTTAAATACTATATTTGATAACTATTAAGGAAAAAATGCTTAAAACATTCTGAAATGTGAGGATTTCTATCGCCTGTAAGTTCTCATGAAAGAACAAAAATAGTGAAAAAGTCCACATATGTCATCATTTTTCAGAATATTACTTTACATTTTTGTGGAAATACAGTGCTACATGTAGTTGTCATTACTTTGAGTCGACCAAAACGAAGAGACATTTGGGTTCTTAGCTACATCTACAAGACTAAGGCCAGACCAATTTAATTTGTTGGTTCTCGGATTCGCCCTGTCCACTTTTTTCTGATTTGCAAAAAAAAATGTTCAAAATCTATTGTTTTAATTATAAACCAGCCTGGTATGTTCACTTCATGGCTCATATTGTGATATTTCCAGCTATCATGGGGTGCCTTGGCCTGTTTTTTTCGCCCTGTCGCTTCATATTTTTTTCTGAAAAAATCCGAGAAACAAATAAAATTGGTGTGGCCTAAGCTATACGATTAAGGGATTTTATCTGCTGACATTTTGGTGACCTTTCGGCTGCCATTTTGTAATAAAGGTTGCCGGAAAGCTTGTTATTTAGCTAAGAACCCATTGTATATTGATTTACCAACGTAATGAAACCATGTACCAAATGGAACACGCGTTTTGAGAAAATGATGACATTTGGTGGACACCTATAACGTCTAGGTAGACCGATGCCTCAGTGTGTTGTACAATTGTAATGCCGGCTCAGATTAAACAACTGCTTTTACATCTCAGATAAAACGTTTCTTATATGGTGGAGTCGTTTTGTCTTACTTTAGGATCGTCAATTTAGCAGCCTAGATGTGTTTTATCTTTATTAATGTATCATTATCCGTTATAAGGACATAATCCGCAGTAAATTCTTATTTTTCACGCAATTCTATCAATAATACGCCTTGTAGATCCATATGCATCCACCATCAAGGTAGGATAAACGCACTCCTTGTTATAAGGCGACACTATTCTTTTGCATTTACATGCCTTTGATCTACATTTTTAAAGGAAAGTGTCTGCATGATGTTTGGCCCTAAAATGTTTTAAGGGCTACTTCATGGGATAAAGGTTGACAAAATGTTTACTATATATTCACGCAATTCCATAAATAATACGTGTGGACCGTGGCCATCTAGAAGATTTAGAACTCCAGAAGAGTGCATGTCCTTGTTTAAGTGACACTTTTCTGTTGTATTTTACATACAACAGCCTTCAGTTTAATTCCTATATCTCAGCAACCTTACATCTAGATGGGCTAATATCGTACAAAATGATGAAAGAAATATGTATATGTAGCGGTCATTGAGAATTCTGACTCCAGTTCCAATATTCTGGCTCCAGAATTCTACAGAATTGGGTTAATCCCTAAGGGATCCTTGATGTAGCCTCCATATAGCATGCCAAAATCTGGGGGGTCTTCATGGTCTTTGGGAGCTTTTGTGTGCTATTTTCTGATTGCATATACATGTAGACAACATAGCCGGCCTGGTTGAATAACCGGGCTAATCAGAAAACAGACGAAGACCACCAAACCCCAGGTTCTTGAAGCCTGCTACAGAAGCTATCCTTGATGGTTACCACGTATTTCTTACATCATTTTTACCTATAGTTTACGCTATTAATAGCCCATCTAGATGTAAGGTTGCTGAGATATGGGGATTAGTCCGGAATTAAACTGGAGGCTGTCATGCCTTTGATCTGCAGTTTCAAAGAAAGATGCCTAAGCTTGTGGCCCTTTAATGTTTCGAGGCTGACATTTCAATTGCTGATATGAAGGAGCCAATGTTTTATGTAACTACCAACCTATTGAAACACGTGTGTCCAACGAAACTAGCCAAAGGCCATGAAAATCCACTGCCATCAGGACTAGGATTTCAGGCATACAAAGTACAAAAAAACAGACTGCACGGTATTACAAACACACGATCCAAAATGACATTTAACAAAAGAACGCACACAGTTTCAACTCTCTATACGTTCATGGCATCACAAACTACTTTGAGTAAATGTTTCTTGTATACCAATATGGTTCCAACCGATGACAGTATAAATTAAAGCTCAACCAAGAAAGCTGCAAAGTAGGGTAATGGCCTTTGGTCAGAGACACCTTGATAAGACTTGTAACAATCAACCCTTCACTACAAATTCACCAATACCCCAACCTGATTACTCTCTCACAGACCTTTGAAGTGTCGATTGGTTCTCTGTAGGTCGGGACTACACGTAGGAGGCAGACCGATTGCCCTACATTTCAATCCTCAGGTGGGGTGTATAATCACTGTGTGACGCACATGCAGTAGTGACACTGAGGATAACTGATAGTCTATGGATGAATGTGTAATTTGTTGTATTGTGCGCAGGGTACCATTATTATTGGTCATACCTTTTTGACGCCCCGGGTTGTATTCGTGAAAAAGAAATAAGGTAGCAGATACAAACGTGAAAAAGAAATAAGGTAGTGACACTGATAGTCTATGTCGTGTATGGATGAATGTGTAATCTGTTCTATTGTGCGCAGGTTACCACTATTATTGGCCACACCTTTTTGATGGCTTGGGTTGTATTCGTGAAAAAGAAATAAGGTAGCTGATACAAACGTTAAAAGGAAATAAGGTAGTAACACTGAGGATAACTGATAGTCTATGTCATATATGGATGAATGTGTAATCTGTTCTATTGTGCGCAGGGTACCACTATTTTTGGCCATACCCTTTTGTCGCCCCGGGTTGTATTCGTGAAAAAGAAATAAGGTAGCAGATACAAACGTGAAAACGAAATAAGGTAGTGACACTGAGGATAACTGATAGTCTATGTCATATATGGATGAATGTGTAATCTGTTCTATTGTGCGCAGGTTACCACTATTATTGGCCACACCTTTTTGATGGCTTGCCGCTTGGGTTGTATTCGTGAAAAAGAAATAAGGTAGCAGATACAAACGTGAAAAAGAAATAAGGTAGTGACACTGATAGTCTATGTCATATATGGATGAATGTGTAATTTGTTCTATTGTACGCATGGTACCACTATAATTGGCCATACCTTTTTGATGGCTCGGGTTGTATTTGTGAAAAAGAAATAACTAAAGGTAGAAGATACAAACTGGCATTGGAAGACGCCCTAGCGTTATTTTACAAACTGATGTTGTTGAATTTGAATGTTGTAACTGATCTGTCTCTGATTCTGTGTTTGGGACATCCACATGTCGTAACTGATCTGTTTCTAAATTGTGTTTGAGATATCATTTTTCCGATCACAATGTATATCACTTTCCCTTCTACGGTATCTGAGTGTTCCTAAGATACCACGGTATTACTCCAGAGGTATTGCTTTAGGTGGCTAAGCTGTGGGTTTATGTGTCCGTCTTGCCCGGACAGAATACGTTGACAACACGTGGGTGGGAAGCTTGACAGGAGGTCCGAAGGTCAGACACAGGAAATGGCTTTGATAGGGAACCAAAAGGAAGGAGATATCGGCAAGGGGAAATTCAGGAAGTCGCAAACTGCACAAAAGACTCTCTAATAGTTCCTGAATTTCTGGAATCTCATATTTCTTCTTATATTTGCTATTTACACATCGAAATTTTGCTTTAAACGTAAGTTAAAAAGAACTTCAAGTACCGGAGTTATCAACCAAGGATTGAGGTGTTCAAAATCTCATTCTTTCCAAGAACTATCGCAGAGTGGAACTCGCTGTCGTCAAGTACAGTAGGGACATTATCATTAGATAGCTTGAAACAATGTTTAGAGTTAGATGTTCAAGGGTTAGGTGTAACAAGTCGTTCGGTGTAATGTAGCCAGCTGCTGCCGCGCCGCGTGCCTGCGATGCTGGTGTGTTACGCCGAAGGGCGGTTATACCAGCTATACAGATACAGATGCTTAAAGAACTTGCCAAAATACCAATTTGTGGTAATGGCTGATACGAATTGAGGTGTGTCCCAATTATTCACTGACATTATCCGCTGAGCTATCAGTTTCAATCAGGAAGCAACGATCGTTTTCTTTGATACATGAGGTAAGGACTTGTACTCGGGTGAGCAAGTCGTTTAAATGAGTCACGATACACTAATGAGTACTGTTTGCTGGTTTCGCGGTAGCCTTAGAAGGTCTCAGAGGGAATTGAAGCGACCCACAATTAAGAAAAGAACAACCTGCGCTCCCATGTGAGGTGAGGGTCACATGTACACACGTTGCACACACACACACACACACATACACACACACACATACACACACGCACACACACACACACACATACACACACACACACACACACACACACACATACGACGCACGCAAACACACATACACATACACACACACACACAGACACATGCACACACACACACACACTGATACACACAACGCACAAATCACTTTCGGCCATAGACATTCCGAGTGTACAGCATATTTAGTCATCGCTTGGTTCTCTTGTAATTTTGGTAAGTGGACATCTGTCCGATGAGGGCTTGCGGCACATGCTGTGTCGGTCTCATACGGTGTTTTTCAAAGAGCTCCAAGTCAATGATAATTGTACTCTAATTCTTTAAGGGAATGAACTGCAGGAATATATTAAGGCAAAGAAGTGTTACACAAATCATATAATCACATGCTGGGCATCAAAATTTTTGTAACCAACGCCATTTTACAACATAACCAATGTTACGAAAGCTTTATACGAACGTACCGGCTGTCAGTCGGTACGTCTTTGAACATAGCCAGGTAGTACTTAGTAGCTGACATCCGATCCCCTTAAGACCACATCCTCTCAAGACACTAATTTTATTAAGAGAATATTTACCCTCAGCCTGTTTAATCGTAATTGCTTTTATGTTTGCAGAGGACATACAGGCACAGATGCAATATGTAGAACTGTGTGAAAATAACGTTGTTCCGGTACGTAAGATGTTGCTAGTTATCACCTAGCAACAACTAGCTACGTATGGTCCTATCAGGTTATTCATACCATGTCCACATCATTAATATTCATTTCTTGAAACGAAAGGAAAGCAATAGACACAAGAAATGGCCGAAACTACCCGGTTAGAACGGGATTTGGTTTCAGCGGCGTTTAGTTTACTCACACTGTTCGGCGGCATCGGGAATATTCTGGTGATCTTCGTGATCGTTCGCAGCAGGCGGCTTCGCACGAGGTTGAATCTGTTCATCGTGAACATTGCCGTGAGTGACCTCATCTTCACCGCGCTGTACGGGCCGGTGTCGGCGGTGTCCGCGGCGCAGTCGGGCGGGCTGAGGGACCACGCTATTTGCGTGGTGACGGGGATCGTCGGGCTGCTGAGCTGCTATGAGTCGGTGCTGTCCGCGGTGCTGATCGCTGTGAGCCGCTGCGTTCGCATCACCAGGAGTCACCGATACGACGTGCTCTTCTCACGTAAAAGGTACTTCCTTTTTTTAAATTCTGATTAAATGTTGCATGAAACAAGGTTTCTTTCTTTTTTCTGAACACCAAAAAGCAGAGATAAGAGTCCCTGAATTGCAAAGTTTGCGTACAAAATTACAACTTACAATGGGCAAGACAGGCGATATGTACATCCCTCATATACATTTATAAGACAACATTATACAGTTTTAGCAGACAACACAACTGATATAAGTACATAATACCAGGATAACCTCATTGATGTTAACGTTACTGCATCCATTGAATTAAGGCGGTAGAATATGAGAATACATATAGTCAGATCACCCAATGAAAACCAACAGGGTAACGAGATACGTACTTTCTAGATTTTCATTTTATTAAAGGCACACGATTGATGGTGATATCTATAGAGACATGTACCGCTGTTTCATTTCAATGTTGAAAGGATGACTAAAATATCAAGAGATAATTCGATATTTGTCATTTTCGATTTTCAATTGGAATGCCGTCTTCAGAAGAAAAAGAAGATAGTACTTAGAGAGTAGCCTGATTAAAATCGCTTTACGGTTGCCGGCCGCCCAACATCCAGCCGGCGGGGCCTCTAAAGCCGCGGACGGCAGAGTTTGCGTTACACAGACTACTTAGAGAGAGAGGGATCAGGAGAGAGAGAGAGAGAGGAAAGAGGAGAAAGAAACCAAGAAAGGCAGGCACAGACGGAAAAAGGGGGGCAAGGAGAGAGAAAGAGAGGGCTGAATTCTAAACCATAACATGTGTCCTTACTTTCCAAGGTGCGTGCTGCTTGTGTCAGTCTCCTGGTTGGTGGCCTTCCTCCTCACGAGTCCGCTGCTGGCCGGCTTCGGCAAGCCTGGATTCAACCCGATCCTTCTGACCTGCGACTACGACATCGTGGAATCCTTCGGCTACATCGTCAGCATCATTCTACCAGTTGCCATTCTCTGTAACGTTATCATTATCATTTCCTACATCCTCATCTACCGTAAAGTCAAAGCATCGACAACCCGTGTCCGTGGGAACAGCAACAGGGCGAACGAGAACAAAATCCCGCCGATGGTTCTGAGCCAGATCAAAAACATGGCAGTGATATATATCGCGTTCAACATCTGCGTCACGCCAGAGGTTCTGATGGATATCATCACATACGAGACCGGGGACAGCCTGCGAGTGTTGAACTTTGTGACCAGGGTCATCTTCACGTGTAATTCGTGCGTGAATCCTATTATTTACACTGCTGGGAACAAGGAATTCCGGAAAGAGCTCAGGTCGTTGTGGGAGTGCGTGTTTCAGGGGATTCAGAAACAGGAACAGAACCGCGTGGAAAAATTCAACATGAACACGCTGAGTCTGGAACAGGGTACAGGACAGAGGTTTGCTTCGCGCAATTCCAATGTAGAGGAAACTCCTCTGTAAACACAGCGTGCAGATTTGCAACATTGTTAATCTCCAAACAGATCCCATTCGGTGGCAAGACAGTATCCATTAGCCAGAGAAGGTCACCGGCCACCGACGTTGGTGGGGGAGCGACAAAAAAAAACGGCCATATATAAAAAGCTAACGATCATTTCCCCACAAACTCTGCTTGGAGAGTACAACATTGTTAAAAGCTGCAAGAACATGCATATACTGTCAAACATGCACAAGAAGACTACTCAGGGGACTCTATATGTGGACAGGTGGTCACTGTAAACAGGATTCTTAATGATTGTGTCAATAAGAAAACCATCTAAGGGACCAGCAAAAAGTGGTCCTTTGGACAGGTAGTCCTTATGTAGAGGTGGTCACTGGACAGATTTGACTATATTGCACGTACAACGAATACTTTAGATACATGCTACCAAGGCATCAGGTTATTCAATCCATACTCATTGCTTTATGGCTTCTAATATAATCATAAATTGATGCACCATATAGTTATCGGCATCTCTAGCATTTGATGTAACTAGAGATGTGTTGGAATTTCTTTTGCACCCATTCATTCAGGCAAAATGCAAAATGATCAAATGTGGATGGTTTGGAGTTATGTAGAAATATTTTGTTCACTTCATGTGTTTCATTTTTAGCCTGAGCGAACTGAAATAGAATAGAGTGGATACAAGGCTATATGATTCACAATCAACGGCATGTTCCTCCTATGATCACTGAAGTGAAAAACTCACAACACTATCTGAGATTCCATAGAAGCAACCTGCTACGGAAAGGTTAATTGCTTCTGCTCAGCTAAGCCTAACATCACGTTGTTTTCTGGTAGGACGCATGTGACGTACGTAAGGGGATCAAAAGATGACTCCGACTCATTGAACCATCAGATTATGAAAGCATTTATTCCAGCTAAGATTTCCTTATTGCTACTCTGCTTGAGTAGCAATTCTACATCGAAATTGCAGTGGGCAGGTCTAGAGAGGCAGGCATTTTTTTCAATATTCGAGGTAATAATAACTGTGTTCGCATCAGCAGGAATAACTGCCTAAAAGACAAAGTGGTTCTGAAGTGGTGATGATTATGACTTGGTCTAGCGGTTATTTTGCGTTCAAGGTTGACAATCATTTTTTTCACTCAACAATTTACAGTTGTCGACGTTTCTGGCCATCGCCACGAGTGCCTCATAATAAGCATTGCATAGCCCCTTGTAAAGTGTAAGGAGTTGTCATGTGGTGTCAATTTGGCCATGTAAATTTGATTATATTACATGGTTGACATCCGCGCGAACATGAATTTTGGTTCGTTTCCAAAAAAAAAAACAATTTTCAGCCATAATATAAATCGTTCGTAGAAAGCAGCTGCAAAATGAGCACATATATATGCCGTGAATTGCAAAAAAAGAGACATTGGAAAACGATATGACTCAGCTCATAATGCCAAGGACAAGAAGAATATGTGAAGAATGTCTATTATTCGCCATAACATATTATGTATGTTTGGTCTTATTACTTCATGACCACGTAGATTTCTCAATGAAGGCTACTTTTTCATTGCCAAACATTTTTTTTCGCACGCTCGCATCAGTTTTGGGGGTTTCTAGAGGATGTCATCCATATGATAAAAAAAATCAACATGGCCCGATAAAGAACAGAAGAACAAGTGCTGTATTTAAAAGAGGTCGTGTTGCCTGATTGGTCTCACTGGAGGCGTAAATTGGATCTCTCGTTCGGAGTCCGGTGGGATCCCGTGCAGCTAGTAATGGTGATTGAAAGGGCCGCAAGTGGTCTTTCTTAACTCTCACGTTTCTATATTTGGTTTGCAAACCTTTAGGCTCTCTAAAATTGTTTACCTTGCGCAAACTCTTCTGGCTTAGTGTAAAGACTCCGCTATCTTCTATGAGAAGCTAGCCTAAAAAGTGACTGTCTCTCTCTATATATGATTAGAGCAAAGACATATGTATTCACAACGGGTACCTAGTTTTGCTAGCGACGTGTTTGGGATAGAACAAAGACATATCCAGAACGGCGACCTGTTTTGGAAATCCCAGATGGGATTCGGGGGCATATTGGGGATAACGACGTGTTTTGGATACAACAAGGAGTCCCTAACTCAATTTCTTTCTTGTCCTGCAATAATGAAAGAAAACGGCGTCGCAGGGTGAATAATAAGAAAGGGGTTGTGCTATTGAAGAACGCCATATTGGCCTCCAATTTGGGCATTCATCGGTAAGAAGATTTGTTATATTCATCAAGACCCATGGGGATGGTCCCGGCAGCACTTATGGCAATAGTCATATATTTTGCCATATTGAACGAAGTACTTAATCCAGAGTTTATGTATTGGATTCTTTGTTGGTAATTTCATGTTATTCTGTGTACTTATCAATATAGGTTTATCTTTAGCAATGTTTAGTGTTTACTTTGACGTTTACTTTGATGTATATGGTGTATTTGATCAGTTATGGACCGCATATATTTATTGAATATTGTGAGATTTTAATAGCCATTAGTTAAACATAGTTTATGATATTTCAGAATTCCGTTGATGAATGCATTACGTACAGTGAATTAGTGTCATATTTCGTGTTTTGGCTTTGCAAATGATATTATTTGTCATGCCTTGTATTTAAAGCACTGTATGATACTAGAACGTCGGATTTATGTAAAAGGATGGACAAAAAGGGACACATATGCTGCAGTGAATGAAAGATTTACGCCAAAAACACTATATTTTGTGTAGAAAAAGACTCACTGAATAAAAGTGATTTAGGTATTACATATGTTGCTTCTGTACTTTATTTTTTTCAATTTACTAAACCCTTATATTTATACAGAAAGCTACTACAATATGGCAGAAAGACTTAAAGTGTTTCATATTCAAAAAATTTATGATAAAAATATGAAGCAAATGAACTTGTATTGTTTTGGGCTCATTTCCAAATTCCAAAACAACTGCAAGTCAAGTCACGCAAGATAAAAGATAAGGTGATTTAGAAACTCCCTTGCGTTCGAAACTGGCAGCTCCAATACATGTGTAATTACATTACAGCCTCTTGGTGAACTGGCGAAGCTAAAATGGCTGGGCAAAGTATGTCATGTCCCTCATGGTAAATCCTGATTTGATCTTATTTTGATCAAACTACTGTCATGCCTACTCACCATCGCCAGGTCTAGTTTACTCAGACGTACTTGAGTGCCCGAAGGAAATGGATAATCTCCAAGTACATTTTGTTGGGCAAGAAGAGTACATATTGGCCGCCTGTTTCTTTTGGCCTCTTGTAACCATTGGATACAGGTGGTCAATATGTACTCTTCTTGCCCCACAGAATCTACTTGGAGATTAGGGAAAGGACACAGTGGAATCCATTTATTATTATCTGCACTGCTTTCTGCTTAGCATTGAGCGCTTATATTGAGAAAGAGTATAGGTACATGTACCTAGTTCGACCTTATACAACACACGCAAGAGCACACACACATACACACACGAATGCACACACACACACACACACAAACACACACACACACACACACACACACACACACACACACACACACACAGACACGTGCGCCACTTACGTGGTCACATTCGTAGATACCCTACCTTAGTGTGGGATTCTGAGTATTCTCTGGGTAAGACGTAAATGGTCATCACTCAGCAACAAAGCCGTATAATTCTATTGGCGAATTAAGTACGTAGGATTTGACCTTATCATGCTTTTTCGAAGCTTCCGGGCGACCACATGAACATTAAGACATGCCATTACCTTGTATTTACTTACTTTTTTGGACTGACCAGCTTTCGAAGTATAGGTTGTAAATCCAATAAGGCATTAGAGTTCTAAACCCAAACACCGGGAAATGCTGAAGTCCTACTCTTTTTGCTAAGTGTGGTGCGATCGAATAAAAAGACTCCTTTTTACGCAACCAAGTCTTTTATTCAGCCGAAGTTTCGGTGACCGTCTGTCACCTTCCTCAGGGCAAATCGGACTGGTTCACATTGCACTGCAGCACAGGTGTCGCTGCTTACAGGTCTTATAGCGATTCCCCAACGCAAAGTATTGAATATTATTATACGAATTTACAGGGAACTATATGTAAAATGTGTTCCCAAACCTACAACACCCACAGGAATGTGATATATACATAATTATTGTCAATTAAAATCAGATCAACAATTAACATCTACTTATAATTAACACGACTTGTGAAAATGAGCATTGTCTATTATTCTTTACATTGGTGGTGGCATGAAAATAGGTTGAGTGTGCTGTCACCATATCTTGTGTTAAATGTTGGAATAAAAAAAAGATGACAGACGGTCATCGAAACATTGACTCTTGTGCTTGTGAATAAAGAACTTTGATGTTCAATCATTCACCAACCTGAGGAAATTATTTACGGAAATTCTGTTACAGTGTTTACATTTCGTAACCTTCACTTTGTCCCGTAAGCCTAAGGTTCTATCTAATGTTGACGTTTCTCTCTTCCGTAGATCTACTCTCTCTCTTTTCTTCCTACCAATCCCCTGCCTCTCCTCCTTTATCGGTATTATATGAAGAACTTTATTGCACGACAATTGCACACGGTACAATGTATGGGTAATCAGGTAAGGATGGCGTACAATATATGGGTAATCAGGTAAGGATGGCGTAGTTCAAAGTTCACAGGTCACCATCGTGGAATCATTGAAAGTTAGAACCAGAAAAGTCACTTTTTTGAGGGGGCGTTTAGGGGCGTTTAGTACCATATATAAAGCCGAAGACGCTTGAAATTCCATTGACAGTTTATAAATAACGTACAGGGACAAGACCTATCAGCCAAGGTCTGCGTAAGGACAGCCTTCAGTCAACCATATCATGTGAAACCGCCATATTAGAACCTCGGGTAAGTGTCACTGGTAAGTCTCAACTATCTATCATGTGTAGACATCGATCCATAATAAAGAATGTCCTTGATAATCCTTAGCCTAAACACAAGGTGTTTCAGACCTAAGGATACAGTAAAAGTTTTCTCCAAACCCTGTTATGATTGTGTTTTGGTATATAATGAAGTTATTTGACAGAAAGACAATTTTGTTGTGAGAATTGTTCATTTCAAATCCAACTGCTGACAAGAATTTTTGCTTTATATTAAACTGTAGGGATATAGATCATTGATGATAAAATATTAATGTATCTTTTTCTAACATGAGCTCAGAGAAGTTAAAAGTTAACTTAACTGAAGTTAACTGTTAACTAGAGCTCCATATAACTAGCTAAAACACCATGATGATAATAAACATCACAACCAGTTATGTGCAGGTAAGTTGTAACTGCACACATTGATATTTCCTTGCAGAATGTCCATGTCTATTAAACATATGTATTTTAGATCTTATAATGTAGTCATTATTTTGACAATATGGGCAGATTTGGTGATATTGAGATACTAGTACTATTGACAATATGGCGGATCCAAACAATGGCGAGGTCCTATTTGAAGTGACCTCGAAAACCGGTCTTGCTACTTTTCACTGCGTGCCTGGTAAGGTTAGATACAGATCAATGCACAAAAGATATAGTCACCCCCCTCCCATCTTACTTTTCTGACATGGTCGAGTTCTCCAATACATAAACTAGTGAGTTTATTACAACTGAAATTTTCATATTTCAGCACCAGTGTATTGATGATGATAACTATTTACCCTTTGGGTAAGTCCAGGCATGCATATATCAGATGACCTGTCACACCTAACTTTTGTCCAACATTCAAAAGCTTATGACTAAGGATACTCCTAAAATTGGTGACAATGACACTCTCTCTATGATATAGGACACAACATCAAGCCTACAAGTACAAGTACTGAAGTAGTTGGATCATTTATTTATGTTAATCTCGACATATTAGCTGTACTGACAAGTACCGCCATGAATCTACAGTATTAAAATGTATATACAATTATGACACAAATTTGTTTTATTTGTCTTCATCAGTCATTTCCCTGTCTCACCATGGATGAAGCCCTGCTGTCAGATGATGCTGATGCTGTACAGAAGGAGCTGGACAGTGGACTGCAGCTGTCAGAGTACCTGAACCGTGGCACGTTACAGCACCTGTACAACAAAGTAAGTTTCTAATACTACAGGCTGGGTATGTTAGAACACCTGAGTGTACATTGCCTTACAGTCAGGCTATTTGAATTGTGTAACAAGGCATGCATGGCTACATTACTATGTAAACACCATGGCCAATAATATAGTAAAAATATCAGTGGTTTGTAAAAGTTTAAGGATGACACAAGCATTTCTCATGAAAAAATGATAGCATTTGTAGCTACAATTTAAATGATGATGGTGGTAATATTTGATTCAGATTAATCTAATACAAATCTACATTGTATATCTAGAACTCAAGTCAAAATGGCTTTAACATTTGATAATGTGTCTTATGAAGGCATTTGAAGATGCTACACCCAAGCAGCGCGAGACGTACGTCTTCAACCACCTGGTGGAGAAATGTCTGGACCAGGGGAAGTATGAAGGTCACACTGTCCTACATGTGCTGGGGGAGGTCATCTCACAAGATCTCATACAGGACCACGAGATACCCAACATATAGTAAGGCTTTTATTATAATGTTTACCGAAGGAAAACATATTGTTTTTGCTCAGTTTCCTCTTCTTCTTCTCCAAACAAATAAGGTCAGTGACCTGAACCAGATGTCTGTCACCATGGTAACTAGTTCTTGTTCTTGTTACTGTGCAACAGTGACCTCTCTGTTAAGTGTTGGTTACCACATGTTGCAATTTTATAGTAGGAGGGATTTAGACTCCTGTCACCATACATTCATCGGTGATATGGTTTTTTCCAGTGATGATGAGAACTCGGACCGTGCCCTGGGTCTCCATGACCTTCTCATCTGGGCCATCGCCACAGGCAAGGTCAAACTTGCCAGGTTCTTCTGGAATCTAGGGTCCGACCAGATCGGTGAGAAATGCCAGAATCCACTCAAAGTAGCTAATGCCTTCCATGTATGTGGAGAATTGCAATAAATAAATAAATAAATAAATCATATTTTATTCACAATAATACTCTCCACCAGACTCCTTTGCAGGACAAATTGGACCCTCTCTGCCCAGCAAACTCCTGGCCAATGAAATCCCCTTTTTAGGCCAATTTCTACTATTTATTCAGCCTGCAAAGGAGTCTGGTGGAGACTAAGACAATAATTTGTTTTACAGTATTTAAGAACACTGGCTGTGCTCTCCCCATAGTTTCAGGTCTGGTTGCCAGCATGATGTTCAAGTTTGCAGCTGATCATCTCCCAAATGACATCTATCACGCTGACCAGCGAGCAGACCTCTTCAAGCTGTCTAAGCAAGTCCCTTATTTTTCTTCTACTGATGCAAAATGCTATATATACATGTACATTTGTATATATACTCGACCTTATTGCTGTATCTGTATCTTTTTACCCCGGGCATTAACCACACTTTGGCATAATGCTGCATTGTGTGTATCATATATTATATTGTGACCTTGGAGAGTTGACATGAAGGAGGAAAAGAATGTTGGTAACTTGGAAACTAAATTAATCCCAATTATTCCCAACTGACCAAAAAGTTTTGAAAGCAAGAAGATTAAAAAGAATAGAAGACAGTTTCAGATATTATTACAAGCCCTAAAATAAATTTTTAAAAATAGTATATGGGTTAACAGTATCACACAAAACTATAAATTTGATTGTTTCTTCAAAATAGCCACTGTCACAGGATATAGGGATTTCCTCAGAGCTTCTGACTTTAGTTCTGCTTCTCGCCGCTACTTAAGTATATAGCCGATGTAGGTGGTGCTTTTGTGGAGAGAAGCAGAACTCCAGTCAGAAGCTCTGAGGAAGGTGTCTGATAGACACCAAAACGCAAGCAAGGTGAGACAATACATGTACTTGTTGTGTAAAAGAAATCCCTAAAAAAAAAAAAGTATATCCTATACTTTACCAACCTGATGAACCTATTTCCGGAAGCCACAGTATCACAGTGGTTCTTACCACTCACTCACTCGCTCAGTCACTTACTCACTCACTCACATGTTAGACATGCTTGCACTGTGGTACTGCGGCTTCAATGGCAGCTCGCCACTTGCCTCTATCCTGTGGGTTGACGGCAAGTAATGCAATGAGACATCCTCTTTTTACTAGGGAGTACCGACAGCTGGCCCTGCTGGTGATTAACGAGTGTTACCGGTTGGATAAGAAGGAGACGTCGGACGTTCAGGTGAAACAGCGGGGAGACTGGGTCCACATCGCTCCGCTGGACGCCATCGACATGGCCGAGGACATGGAGGTCATGGGTCACGCCGCCTGCCAGTTCACCCTGGATAACATCTGGACAGGCAGGATGGCCAGTAACACTCCCACATGGAAGGTAACGGGCACATCGGCAGTACGTACTACACCTGCGCGAAGCCCGTAGTGTATTGTGCATAGCACTTTGACAGAATGGCTCATATAAGGTTGTATTCGCGCATATAAGGTTAACACCCTGTCTGTACATTGTAGTTTCCAAATGTTATTATGGAAGAAATTTTGTCTGCAACAGGCAAAATTCTCACGCAACGTTGACCTAATATTCAACGAAAACCGTGTAAAATTGAGGTTTTGCGCAGGCGCAGTATGTTCTGCCGACATTTTAAGGTAACGTTATCTATGAATATTTGCTTTTATTAAAAATGAAATGTAAAATCCAGTAGTGTTATTAAAGGCTGACAACACACCCACATGGAAGGTATGGAAGTTTGTCTTTATTACATGTAAACTGTAAAATCTTGTCTTCTTGAACTGAAAGAAATTAGCCAGCAATCAGTTCTTCACTTCAAGTAAAACTTATGTCACTGCATTCTCCATTATATGTCCATTTTACCTGTTCCATTGATTTGGCATAACCAATGGTCATTTGTACAGAATGTGTGTTCTATTTGGGCCAAGTGGTCATTTATGACACAACAAAGACCCACTTATGAAATAAAGACCACTTGTTATGATTTTTCACCACTTGTACGTGTATCTTGCTTCTATGGTATAACTGTCATTTTTTTTACTGTAAAAGAGAAGAAAATGTCAGTTTGAAAATGCAACTTAACGTGATATTAAATGTGGTTTGTACCTCAGTTGATGGCTGCTACAGTCTGTCCACCCCTGCTGTTTTTCCTGGAGTATGTGGGTGATGAGGACCCTGCACATGAACATGACACCAGCCTGTGGGACAAGGTCAAGTTCTACTTCACTGCACCTGTCACCAAGTTCATGTACAGTGTGGTAGGTATATATATTTTGAAATATCCCGGTTACTATGTACATCTCTATGAAATGAGCACAAAGAAACATATTATATCAAGTAAAAAGTGAGCAAACACATCTTTTCCTCCAGCAACATTGTCACATATTTAACCCGACCCCACGTACAAGTGCAGTAGCACATTAGCCTTAGGTCAGGATACATTTTATGAGTGACGTGCACTTTTGTGTAAAATCAGTAGATGGCGTTGTTGCAACAGGACTGGTGAGAAGAAATACTGATATCCTAAGGGAATGATGTGGTCCATGTTATATGTCTTCTTGTCATGTGCGTTGATCTTGAAGGGTTAGACTTTTGTGATATCGCCTCCTCAGATGTCCAACCTTTTATGAGTGCTGCTTAAAAGAAAAACACAATTAATTAAGAAGAGTAGCAACATACAGGGGTGACCCAGTCTACTTGCATAATGAGCTGTCGAAACCCATTACAGTGTTTATTTTTCAAAGCGACATCAAGCTTTCCTTTCATCCCCAGGTGTCCCACGTGTTGCTGATCCTGATGTTCAGCTACATGGTCCTGTTTGAGGTCCGGCCTCAGAGTAAGCAGCCTGTGGGTTGGGCGGAGGGACTCCTGGTGTTCTGGATCGCCATTCTGGGTCTCGAAGAAATACGCCAAATGGTACATAGACTAGAGAAATCCGTGAATAATTTCATCAGGTTGGTAAGTCACTGAGTAAAGAGACTCTTTTTACACAACCAAATCTTTTTTTTAGCTGACGTTCCGGTGACCGTCTGTCACCTTCCTCAGCGCAATTCTGACTGGTTCACATTGCACTGCAGCACAGGTGTCACTGCTATAGATGCATTTCCAAATGTACACCTGTGCTGCAGTGCAATGTGAACCAGTCAGAATTGCCCTGAGGAAGGTGACAGATCGACGGTCACCGAAACGTCTGCTGAATAAAAGACTTTAAAGTTTGGCAAGTCACATGTGGGGCAAGACAGTGTTCGGAATACAGGAACTTCAAGTTAGATTGGAACTCTGTGTTGGTGAAATGATTCTGAAGCAATATAAGGTACATTGTAAAAAAACTGTACATAGATGAACTTTATGCAATCATTACACCATCTTAAAGGTTTGAGTGATATTTCCAGGTGGACAAACGCATTCTGATCCAAACCTGGATCTCCAACGCGTGGAACATCCTGGATGTGATCATCGTAGGTCTGTTCGAGATCACCTTCATCGTACGCCTCTGTCTCGACCGGGATTTCGAGAAGCAGAATTTCCAGATGATCCGGATTCTGTACTGCCTGACCCTGATCTTCCTGTGTGTGCGGATGGTCCCCATGTTCTATCTCAACAAGAACATGGGACCAAAGATCGTCATGATCCGGAAGATGGTATGTTTAATATGTTGTTTTTAGTAGCTAATAGGCTACACCAATTTAATTTGTTGGTTCAGGAAAAATATGAAGAGACAAGGCAAAAAAAAAAAGAAATAAAAAAGGCCTAGGCATCCTCTGATAGCCCAAAAGCTATTAAAGGAGCTAAAATGCCAACATACAAATGAATTATGAACTTTTTGTCAAAACAATGCATTGATATGTGGAAAAGCTGTGGAAGACAAGGTCACCGTTCTTCCACTATTTTAGCCAAAATATGAGCATTTTAGAGTTGATTCAAAACCTGAATCTTTTTGTTTTTGCATAATTTGTTGCAGTTTTTAATGCCTAGTTGGCCCAATAAGACACAATAATAAACTTAAATTCATCCATTCATTCATTGTTTCATTCACTCATTCATTCATTCACTCATTCATTCATTCACTAATTTATTCATTCATTCATTTCTACATGTGACCTTCATTCCCAGGTCGGTGACGTGGTGTTCTTCCTGAGTGTTCTGGCCGTCGTTGCGGTGTGTTACGGCGTCACCAGACTGGCCCTCACCACGCCTAAAAACGAGTTCACTCCCAGCATTGTCCAGAAGGTCTTCCTCATACCGTACTGGCAACTGCACGAGCAAATGTTGGACCTGGAGGAGGGGGAAGGGACAGAATGTTAGTTTTTTTATCAGTTTATTTTGTTTTGTTTATGATTGTGTGTATTTTGATAGATAAATACTACAAGTCTTAACGCTACTGTTAGTATCCCCTGTATAATGGTACGAACCAAAAAGTGGTCTGTTATTCTAATAACCGACCACTTTTGAGGTTACAGCATGATTAAGTGATTAAAGTACATTTTCCCTCTCAGTGCCCTGGTACGTGGACGTCATGGAGGCAGGTTACATGTTGTTAGTAGCTGTGATGCTGGTGGAACTACAAGTCGGTTTGTTTGAGTGAGTATTTGCTTACTACATGTAATTATATAAATTATACTTATTTCATTACCTCCAAAAAAATGGTAGGTACTGTTTTTGGTCTGCGGATGATGTTTTTGTGTGGTGTTGGATGGGATGACATTTAGCAGGTGGGTACTAGGTGGAGTGAAATGGATTGTGTCAGGTACAAAGACTGGGGGTCTGTGAAAAGTTAAAAACAATATAAACCACACAATTCATTATGTTTACAGATACACCATTGAACGTGTCCAGGAGCGAGCAGGCATGTACTGGAGCTACTACAGGTATGACATGATCCAGGAGTACCAGGACAGACCCCTCGGACCAGGGCCACTCCTCGTCTTCGGGCTGCTGTGGAAACTATGGGAGGTCTTCAGAGGCGTTCCCGCAAGCAGCCCTTTCCGTAAGCTTCCAGTATTTGTTTGGGATGAGTTTGTCTATTTGCTTGTTTGTCTATAGTTACCACGGTACTTCTTGATATTGACACAACAAAAAGGATCAGTGAATTTCTTTTGAACAAATCTATGACATTGACCTTTTTAAACAGGGAGAACATTCAGTGGAAAAGTAGAGGCGAATCTACAGGAGTTGGAGAGGAAAGCTGTGACGAATGTACAGATGAAGTTAGAGAAAGGTGTCTACAAACTGCATGCAGCTTCTGAACATAGGTACAGTCTTAGAGATGTTTTATCTTTGGGTAAATGGCCTGCGTGTGTGTGTGTGTGCCAGTGTGTGTGTGTTTGTGTGTATGTGTGCATGTGTGTGTGTGTGCATGTGTGTTCATGTATGATTGTGTGTGTGTGTTTGTTACTCTGATTGTTTTGTTTTTTCCCTTGTCCAGCCCACCAGATACAAGAGGAAAGCTTGGATCCTTACGAGAACGTATGGCAAGCATGGAAGGTGAAATGGAGGCAATTAAGTCTTTAATACAAGATTATACCAAGAAGTAAACATGTCAAATCAAAAAGAATTTCAAAGTTGGCCACGCAATTTACCATCATGATATTATCATGTTTGCCTTAGACATTCTGCATGCAATCAAATATAATGTACCAAAATATAATATATCATAGCCACAATTTTTAATGCTTTTTTGTGATAAGGGTTTAGCTTCGAAAGTATTTTATTCTAATGCCTTGATTGGAAGCAGATGTTGGGAGCAAAAAGTGCATGGCATGAGTTCATGCAATATTAGAAAACCATAAAAACTATTCCCATATCTGCTTGGATCTTAATTAGGAACGTTTGGTGGCTTATTAGTGGGAACATAGGAGCAAAGGGATTCATACATTCCATGACATTTTACCATTTTTGTTAATTCTGGGAATTTTAACATCCGAGTTGATCCGAGTATTTTCTGAATATTCGGTAATTTCTTATCCAAATGTATATCAAAGAATACTTTATTTACGAAATAGCATAATTGGAATAAGGGTCGTATTATGTTGTGTCCAAAATGGTTTTTGTTTCTTTCTTTCATACAATAAACCTACAAATAGACGCACAGTGAAAATTACTATAAGACTAGGTGTGTATATATTAACTAAACAAGCCATGTTTTAATGTCTTGAGCCATATACATTTTAGAGACATTTGCTGGGATAACAATACTTTATTTTTCTTCATCTATCTATTTGTTTCTGTTTTATTTAACTAGGGTGGTCCAACTCAGTATAAGACAGTGCTTTACACGTACAATGGAGCTCTGGAAGACACGTCATACATATTTGTAACATATGTAACAAACTTTTTTATGTTTACCAAAGGAAAACATTGTTTTTGCTCTGTTTCCTCTTCTTCTTCTTCCTCTTCTTCTTCTCCAAGCCAATAAGGTCAATGACATGAACCAGACGTCTGTTACCATGGTAACTAGTGTTGGATTACATCATGTTGCATTTTCATAGCAGGGGAGATTTAGACTCCTGTCTCACCAATAGAAAATGTGTTTGAGTAAGAATTAACAGCAGACCATATGGGAAGGTAAACATTATGCATTTGCTTGCCTTTGCAATCATAATTTGTATATCATTTCATCATAACAGTTACAGTTAAGAACAAAATAATCCATATCCACAAAATTATTCATATCCCCTGTAATTTAATGATTTTTTTCTTTTTAAAATTTTCTTTTTTTCTTTTTCAAACCTTCACCTTCACCTTCTTAGAAAATACGGGACGTACGGTCGGTTGTGCGCATGTGCATGTGAAGTTTGTCTCACGTTGCACATGAACGTGTACGTGTTACATTGTTAAGCTCTTTTATGGCTAATTGGCCATCTACATCCGGAATGTGCCAGACATTTGGTTGCTGCCACACATGGCGAAATGTAGAAGCTTGTCTGGCGCTGTAGGAGACCATTTCCGTGCGTTAGTCTGGCTAAGTGCACCTGTGTTATAAAGATCTTTTAATGGTCTAGACGGGCTTTTAAACTTTAACCGCCGAAGAATGCCCGCCTCTGATGTAAACACTTCCTCCCTTGTTACTTACAAGTACTGGATCTGCAGGTTAATTTGAGTAGTTCTTTTTTTGAATGAACTAGTGATGAAACAAATTCACTAATATGAAAATGTCATAAGTTATCTGGTATTGAGAAGCATGTGATAAAATACCTTACATGTGTTTATTATCAATTTTCTTTGCAGTAGTCTAATCGTCACATTTGTGAGTTTTATTTGTTGCAGCTTTTAACGCTTAGTAACAAAAGATACAATAATAAACTCATTTATTCATTTCCGTGCGTTAGTCTGACTAAGGGCACCTGTGTTATAAAAATCTTTTAATGGTCTAGACGGGCATTTAAACTTTATTAAACCGCCGAAGAATGCTCGCCTCTGATGTAAACACTTTTGTTACTTACAAGGTGAACAGCATGTAGGGCAATTTGAATATGTTTTTGAATGAACAAGAATTCGGAGACCTCCATGAAATATTTAGATTTTGTGTGATGGTGACTGTGTACTCTTCTCATTTACCGTGGTGTCCACAGCTCTTTCAGATCTGATTATTTATCCCAATTATTTAGCACCGTAATGTATTTTAATGTAAAAAAACGTGCTAAAAGTTTTTCGAGGGATAATTGTATTTTTATTACAGCTGCTCTTTCTTTATTGTGCAAGGGAACAACACCAGCTGTCAAGGAGGTCATGTAATGAAAAACAACTGTGAAAACAGACAGGATTATTGACGTTTCTCTAGGGCAGACTGGACCCAACCTGACCAAAGGGCCATGCGGAAAGACACACAGACAGACATGCCAAAAAGCAATACTTCCATTTTTGTTGGAGGTAAAACTAGTGATCAAACAAACTGGGCTTTGAGATCATTTTGAATTCACTTTCTGTCGTCTCGACTGTCCATAAAGTTCATTTGAACTAAACTTATTCGAGAGAACTTTCACGCGTACTACGGATCTTTGGGGAGGTAGTAAGCCACTTAGTTAATCATCTCGTTTTACTAGCTGACCTGCGAAGTATTCAAAGTACTGTCTACTGACGTAGAAAGATTTTCTATGTTGGCGGAATAAATTCCGGTAACCCTCGACAGATAATACGAGGAAACAGATGAGACAACAAAACATTTAAATAGAATAAATGAGACAAGATTATATCATTAACAATAGTGGTGATCTTTGATTTACTTTTGCTTTGCACGTTTTAGCTTACTGCTCATGTGTATTGTTAGTATTCTGCTTTAAACCTCTTGTAAAGTTCCATGTCTGCTAGTTTTGGGCGGACAAAAATGCATTCCAGTAGTATACTGCAACTGAAAGGACCATCTGCGTTCGTCTCTAGACTAAATTTGGAGAAAAAAAAGGACGAAACTGGAAACATGCAAAGTAGCAAACTCTTAATGCAAAGATTATTAAATTTGGTACTTTTTTGTCATGTTAACCATCATAAAAGTCCCTTCTATTTTACTTCGAAACTTCGGTGCACGTACGTATATACGTGCGCATGCTTTCCTAGAACATCTAGTTGACATGTCTAGAGGTTAACAATTACACTTTGGAATGCAATACGGGTGTCTACTTACATTCTGAGAAAAGGGATAAATATAATTATCAATTAAGATTAAGTTCGTAACGTCACCGACAAGTTATAAAAAGGGGTATTCCCTTACTTTAAACATAGTCTACATCCTTCAAACAGAGAAAACATGGTTCCAACCGCTTCTCTCTTGATGCTTATCTTTGTACTGGGCATGGAGTCATCCCTGGCACAGCCCAGTATGCTGGTAAGACCCCGTTCCCTTCTAGTCGTATCAGTCTTTTGTTGTGAAATGTCTGTCTTTTATGCCATTATTTTATTTTGATGTGTCAAGTTGGCAGGAGTGGGTTGGTGGGAGCACTTGGACAGTAACCTGTCGTGGGTAGCTTGGCACATCCTTTTTCTGTCCCCTTCCCTTTGTCTCAGTTGCAGTAACGTCGAAAAGTTTAAAGAAAACGGCAGCTGGCTATATTGTACCTAACCCCTTTTGCACCAAGCCTTTGAGCATGTAACTCTAAACGTTCTTGGTTAAAGCTATAGCTATAGATAATGCTCCTACTGTAATCGGTGGAAGCGAGTTCCACCCTACGGCCTAGTAGTCATCAGTCCATTAAGCGCTTCCTGGCGTCCAAGGTTATATTGCAACGTTACGAAATCCCAAAATTAATACCTTACTGGTTTAGACGCCTCCACGTATCTGTCGGGGGTCGCTACGTTCTTTGAAGTTCACTAATCGCTATCTAATAGGAGCAAAGTGTTAAGTACCCCTTTTATTGCTCTCCGACTCGTCCGTGGATCGCAAATTGGATCTTCACTCTGGCCGGATCTTCTCTGGTATACTTTATTTCGGCCAATTTCTACTATTTTTCCAGCGATCCGCGGTGCCTGGTAGAGGCTATGCGCAGATGGTTGTACTTTTCCCATATCTTCAATTTCACATGTCAGAATCAATACAGTAAAGATAAATGTTAACAAGGGGCCGTTCCCCACAGGAATTTGTGTGGGAGGAATACCCGCCTACAGTGGTCGCCTACTGCCCTCTGGTGTAAGCTTCACACCTTCATAACCCCCGCCTCTTCAGTGTCATTCCATTCTGACTCGTCTTTCGAATGTTTCTTCCCCGATCTGTGTGGCTCTTCTTGATTTTCAAGAAGATGCTCAACATCCAGAGACATGTGTAGCATCGGCGGTTGTGACTGCTGTATTAGGCTGTTTTTTGGAAACAAGCACATACTCAGGTACAGGTATGCTACATTATGTGATCCTTCATATGTGATCCTTCAACGTAAAATGCATGCTTGACTGTGGTTTAAAGTGGTGGTGGAGATTTTGGACCCGGTCGCATTGGTCGCGTGTTTGTCCTACGACCGCAAGAGGACATTCTTATTCTTGGGATAGTAGGGCATATGTCGTGCATGCAAGGATTCGGTTAAGAAAAAGGTTGTCTTAGATCCCTGCCACTAGTTGCTTCTGCCATATCCTTCTTGAAAATTCTGCAACATAAAAATCAGTCCACGACTGCAATTTATCCGTTAGTAACAATTTTCCTCATGTATTGGTACCAGATAAGTCTTAACCAAGTCGTAGCAACGTGTACTTCAGTTGGCAATACATTATTTTGTATCCCATTGCCTGATAATTGATTTAATAGCAAAATTGAAACTGTACAAGTTATGTTGTAGCTGAAACATGTTAGAAGTTTCTAACACGAGTCACGTGTATGTGCTACATGGTCATCATGGTGCATTAAGAGTTTAATGTAACAGTTTCAGAAGCAGCAATTTGAAAATGTCACCACCTGAGGTCCAGACCAATATTGCAAGAGCTTGAAGAACTTGAAATGTAATAAAACTACCGTGTATGAAAGCTAATGGAGTTGATAAAGTATCCCAAGTACTCAGTTTAAAAAGTTCAATGTAGACGTCATGGTCGATTACATTGCTATAAAACAGCGCTATGTGTTATAAGTTATAAAAAGGGATATTCCCTTACTTTAAACATAGTCGACTCGACATCCCTTAAACGGAGAAGACATGTTCCCAACAGCTTCTGTCGTGATGCTTCTCTTTGTAATGGGGATGGAGTCATCCCTGGAACAGCCCAGTATGCTGGTAAGACCCCGTTCCCTTCTAGTCGTATCAGTCTTTTGTTGTGAAATGTCTGTCTTTTATGCCATTATTTTATTTTGATGTGTCAAGTTGGCAGGAGTGGGTTGGTGGGAGCACCTGGACAGTAACCTGTCGTGGGTAGCTTGGCACCTCCGTTTTCTGTCCCCTTCCCCTTGTCTCAGTAACGTCGAAAAGTTTAAGTTTAAGAAACCTCCTGTCTCTCTTGTCTGGTTTTCCCTATTTTTTTATTTTGTTATACCCCAATTAAAAACGGGTAAGGCTTACTTACTTACTTACTTTGGTCGAGTTCCCGCTCGAACCAAACTTGAAAGCATCCTCCATCCCTCTCTGTCCTCCATCAGAGACAGGATTTCCCCTATTTTAGTGATGCTGGTGTCTGATCTGCGGTTGTCGATGCAGTTAATTCTAGGTCTCCATCAACTTCTTTAGCCTTTTGTGAGTTCATTTTTGTGGGTTTCTGGTACCGGTAAGAAGACGTAGTTGGTTCGTGTAGTTGTTTCTTTCCTTGAATGATTTTCTTTCTTTCTCTCGTAAAACCTGGCTGTCTTGCGGCTAAAATACGTTTTACTTAAAAGTGTACGTGTTTGAAGTTACATATATAACTCGTATAAAACAATTCTATCTGGTTTTCACGGAACTTGTAAGTGTCCCATCTGCGATTGTGACATGAGAAGTTTGGATGTGTCTGATTTAACGTGTTAATGCACTTGATGAGTTTTTGCTAACAAAATGAACCAAATTTCGAAATCCGTTTTAGCTCAGGTAACTAACTGGGCAACCTAAGCCCAAAGTTAGTATCTGTATAGCCGGTATAACCGCACCTCGGTGTAACATACCATCCTCTGACAGGCACGCGGCGCGGCGGCAGCTGACTATATTGTACCTAACCCCTTTTTACACCAAGCCTTTGAGCATGTAACTCTAAATGTTCTTGGTTAAAGCTATAGCTATAGATAATGCTCCTACTGTAATCGGTGGAAGCGAGTTCCACCCTACGGCCTAGTAGTCATCAGTCCATTAAGTGCTTCCTGGCGTCCAAGGTTATATTGCAACGTTAGGAACTCCCAGAATTAATACCTTACCTGTTCAGACGCCTCCACGTATCTGTCGGGGGTCGCTACGTTCTTTAATTCACTAATCGCTATCTAATAGTTCACTAATCGCTATCTAATAGGAGCAAAGAGGCTAAGTACCCATTTTACTGCTCTCCGAATCGTCCGTGGATCGCAAATTGGATCTTCACTCTGGCCGGATCTTCTCTGGTATACAATCCCTTTATTTCGGCCAATTTCTACTATTTTTACAGCGATCCGCGGTGCCTGGTAGAGGCTATGCGCAGACGGTTGTACTTTTCCCATATCTTCAATTTAACATGTCAGAATCAATACAGTAAAGATACATGTTAACAAGGGGCCGTCCCCCACAGGAATTTGTGTGGGAGGAATATACCCGCCTACAGTGGTCATCTACTGTCCTCTGGTGTAAGCTTCACACCTTCATAACCTCCGCCTCTTCAGTGTCATCCCATTCTCGCTTGTCTTTCGAATGTTCCTTCCCCGATCTGTGTGGCTCTTCTTGCTTTTCAAGAAGATGCTCAACATCCAGAGTCATGTGTAGCATCGGCGGTCGTGACTGCTGTATTGGGCTGTTTTTTGGAAACAAGCACATACTCAGGTACAGGTATGCTACATTATGTGATCCTTCATATGTGATCCTTCAACGTAAAATGCATGCTTGACTGTGCTTTAAAGTGGTGGTGGAGATTTTGGACCCGGTCGCATTGGTCGCGTGTTTGTCCTACGACCGCAAGAGGACATTCTTATTCTTGGGATAGTCAGACATATGTCGTGCATGCAAGGATTCGGTTAAGAAAAAGGTTGTCTTAGATCCCTGCCACTAGTTGCTTCTGCCATATCCTTCTTGAAAATTCTGCAACATAAAAATCAGTCCACGACTGCAATTTATCCGTTAGTAACAATTTTCCTTGTGTATTGGTACCAGATAAGTCTTAACCAAGTCGTAGCAACGTATAGTTCAGTTGGCAATACATTGTTTTGTATCCCATTGCCTGATAATTGATTTAATAGCAAAATTGAAACTGTACAAGTTATGTTGTAGCTGAAACATGTTGGAAGTTTCTAACACGAGTCACGTGTATGTGCTCCATGGTCATCATGGTGCATTAAGAGTTTAATGCACCACCGTAACAGTTTCAGAAGCAGCAATTTGAAAATGTCACCAGCTGAGGTCCAGACCAATATTGCAAGAGCTTGAAGAACTTGAAATGTAATAAAACTACCGTGTATGAAAGCTAATGGAGTTGATAAAGTATCCCAAGTACTCAGTTTAAAAAGTTCAATGTAGACGTCATGGTCGGTTACATTGCTATAAAACAGCGCTATGTGTTGAGTACTGGTATCACTACTGCTGTCCTTACGGTGATTTGCAGACATTTCTGTAGCTTCTATCCAGCCAGGCCGTCCAGAACAGCATGCGTCCACTAGTCTGTGTTCTCCTCCTCTTTGTGATGGGGATGTCTTCTTCACTGGCTCAACTCAGCGTCCTGGTAAGCGAGTATCTGTGTTCAGTTTCTTGTCTTTTTTCTTCGAACGGCCGGTGCATGCAATGGTCAAGTGTTCGTCCTGCATTTGGAGGGTCTTGAGTTCGATTCCCGGCCGAGTCATACCAAAGACTTTTAATTGGTACATACTGCTTTCTCTGCTTAACACTCTAAGCATTTGATAACCATTTTCTTGTTGAGCACACACCATTACTATAGTGGACTACCCTCTGCTGCAGCGATTACACAACCCAAGAAACGAAAATGGGCCACCGCGCTGGGCTTTTATCTTCGTTCTCTGCAGTTTTTTTCTCTATTTGTCGTCCTCGCGAGTTGTTGGCATGTATCTTTTTTTCGTTGATGCCATGCGCGGATAATAAAAGAAAATAACTTAAGGCAGTGCCACGAGAAAGACGCGGCCTTGTTTTGACTTGCTTGGTCGACCAGTGACGCCGGTAGGAACGAAATGCCGGGACTTTTTTCTTCCCTCTCTCTCAATTTTTTATTGTGAACTGAAATAAAACTGATGTCCCACTAAATTACCGCTGAGGGGGAGTTGAGCCCGAGGGGAGTTGGCCGGTAATGTGGTCTGACTCAGCTCCCCCGTAGCGGTAGTTAAGATAGGCGGGCGCGGGGCCCATGACTACGTACCGACAGAAAGCGGCTAACGGCCCGATACTAGTCTGGCTGCTAGGGTAACGAGCACAACTAACTAGCTCTATTACACTGGTGCTACTAATAGGGAGTGGGAAGAAAGATGGTAGATTTTATTAGCAATATGGGCGATGAGGAATACTGAGTCATGTCAATGCGTCATGTGCAAAAATGACCATTGGGGCTATTCATCAATAAGGCATGTTTGTGTGGGTGGCTACTGGGCTTTACGAAAACACTAGACGATGGGTTTGTATTGTTGTTTAATACATAGACTTCTAGTACTTAGCGTTAAGATGTAGTGTTAGTAGAATGGCTCGTCTCAAGAAGAAAAGGGAAGATGAAAAAACACAAAGGAAAATGGGGATTTGAAAATTTGAAATGGGTTTGTGTATTACAGGATCGGTATCTGTACAGCCCGTATAACCGCCCTTCAGCTTAACACACCAGGATGATCAAAACACAATTTTTCAATAAGATAAAGATAATATGTAACATTAAAAACGTATTCAAACCTGCTCGAGCAGGCATCTGGTGCAATCGCAGGCAACATCAAAACAGAACAAAATGTAGTTCTGGGGCATGTCTAATTATAAGCACATTTTATCCATTTATCTGCACTACAGAAAAAATAGCTGTAGTATAATAACCTGTCTGAAGCAGGCACTCTTTTAGAAGCCACTTTCCCCCAGTCCCACGAGCGGCGGCTGAGAGCAGTTTTAACTGTTATATAGGGTACAGGTAATGGGCACGTGAATCAAAATCAGGTGTATCTTGTTGAGAGCTGCCACGAAGCCGCATTGCATGCAGTAGCTAGCACAAAAACATCGTACTTCATCCGCGTTTGACACGTCGAATGGGGTGAAGTACGATGTTTTTGTGCTAGTTCATCATCATCATATCTTGTCGGCCCACTGTTCCAGCCAGTCCAGGGCTTCCTGGTTTGCATCGTACAGATCTCGTTTGGAGAGAGATGGTCCAAATTCGCAGTCCTGTAGGATGTGTTGCATGGTTTGGGGAGGGTGTCCACATGGGCAGTCAGCTGAGCTCACCCGTCCCCATTTTAACAGATTATCTCTGGTCCTACCTACTCCACACCTAGCTCTGTTCAGAGCGGCCCATTTCCTTCTAGGCAAATGGGTGCCATGAGGTAGGGACTCACATGGGCTCTGTGCTAGTTGACAATAAAAGAAGAGGATTTAATGTATTGCTGTCAACAGAATCGCTGTCTCTTTTTTAAATTTAAGGAGTGTGGGTAGTTTGAAATAAATCTGTTTCGTCTTCCACTTTTTTTGACATGCAGTATTCACAAGTTCTTTCGCACACAGGTAACCGTAGCGTGCTCGACTCGGAACCAAGAGGTCCCGAGTTCGAGTCCTGACATGCCACCGATCTTGTGCTCTTGGGAACGGCACTTTACACGATTTTCCTGAGTATTGTCCTGTCCTGAATTCGTCTTCTGCGTTGGTGGTGGCATAAAATAAGTTGATATAACTTAAGTGTGCATAAAATTAAAATAAGTTTATATAACTTGAGCGTGCTGTCACAATGTCTAGTCATGAAATGTTCAATCAATCAACCGCAGGCATCAGTGGAGATGCATAGCGGCTGTAGACAGGTCTCTCCGAGATGTTCTGTTTTCAGCCAGATCACTCCAGTCAGTTCTGCTGACCCCTAGAGTGTCCAGTGCGTTGAAAACTTTGTCCTCCCATCTGCTCCTGGGGCGGCCTCTGTACTGGCGTTTATAAGTACAGCCGTGAGTGAAATTTCCCGCCAGTACTTATAAACGTAAGAACCACTGACGGGCCGTGAGGTAGGGGTAAACTTTTGAATGGGAAGGATTTGTGCAACGCCACTTGGCAGAAAGGTGGTCCAGAATGTTTGCCGGAGCATGGGCTACTTTAAATTTGGCGGCACAGCCTTTATTGTTATTTTGCAGACGATTTTCGTGTCGACTGTGAGCTGTGCCGCCATTGGGGGCTAAGCAGAAGGACGGGGGCAAAGCAGAATTGCGCCGGGGGCGTAGAGGAACGACGGGGGCGAAGCAGATTTTTGCGGGGCGAAGCAGAACGGGGCGGGGGCGAAGCAGAACGGTGGGGGCGAAGAGGAAGGAGTTTCATGGGGGTGTTAGGGCGCCTCCAAGATGGGTCTGGAGCTGAGGTAACCAGTTTGATCACTTTTTGGAATATATAAAAAATACTGTCTCTTTTTGTAGGAGTGCGAGACGGACCAAGACTGCATCGACGTGTACGGCATGGGTGAGTACTGCTGCGCCCGCGTCAACTCCATCACCCGCGACCTGCGCCAGTGCAAGCCGATCGGCCAGGAGGGCGAGCTGTGCCACGTGGGTTTGGTTCATGTTTCATTGGTTTATTAAGATTCCCTTTGGCCCCATTAGGGGCTAATCCTCCAGGACTCATTAGACAATGCAATACATAAAACAAATATATACAAAAGCACAGATTACATACTATACATTACAAGTTAAGAATAAGAATTGAGGTCAATATAGGATTAACATCAACAAACTCTCAACAATAAAACTTGCGAATTACTAATTTGCTTCTACAATATAAACAATATTACCAGGGTTAAACCGTAAAATTGCGTAAAGTTCCGTAAAATTGATGTATCATTTTCTTAATGGGCCAGCCTGCAGACTTTCTTTTGTATAACGTATCTTTTTAGTACATGACTATGAAACACTTGCCGGTACAGGTGGGCAGCAACTACCTGCCGTACCCGTTCCGGGGCGCCCGCCGCTTCTGGCGCTGCCAGTGCAACTTCCCCGAGGGCTTCTGGTGCGCTCCGGACCCCGCCAGCTACCTGCCCAACGGCGGGCGGTGCGAGCGCTGGGTCCCGCCGGCCAACACCACCAGTAGCACCGAAGATGCCGGATCTGGCTAGCGGTGCAGATCTCGCCTGACGACAACGCCAACGTAAATCCCTACTTTTCTCGATCCGTCTGGTCTTGGTTAAAGCATAAGAAAATGCATCAAAGCATTAAACCTGCCCAAGTTTCGATGACCGTCTGTTGTATTCACCATGGCAATAATGAATGGTTCATTGTGCTCTGAAGCTACGTGTTACTGGTTTGCTGTATCATGAACCTAGGTGTTATTGGTTCACTGTACTCTGAAGCTAGGTGTTACAGGTTCAATGTGTACTGAAACTAGATTTTACTGGTTCAATGTGCAAGGTGTTAATGGTTCACTGTGCACTGGAGCTAGGTTTTACTAGTTCACTGTGCACTGAAGCTAGGTTTATTGTACACTGAAGCTACATGTAGGAGTTACTGGATCACTGTACACTATGTGTTACTGTACACTATGTGTACTGAAGCTATGTGTTACTGGTTACCTGTGCACTGAAGATGAGTGTTACTGGTTCACTGTACACTGAAGCTAGGTGTTACTCTTTTACTGTACACTGAAGCTAGGTGTTACTGGTTCACTGTGCACTAAAGCTAGGTGTTACTGGTTCACTGAAAAAAGGTGTTACTGGTTCACTGTGCACTGAAGCTAGGTGTTACTGGTTCACTGTACACTGAAGCCCTGTGTTACTGGTTCACTGTGCACTCAAAAGCTGGGTATTACTGATAAAATTATCAATTATTGATATACTTAAATCTGTGATCATGTGCCCATCATAATGTGACTTCTATTCCCTCATAAACTACACTGAAGTTGCTTAATTATGAAAATAATGAACCACTTTCAGACTAACAAAGTTGATGTTATTAAGTAAATGTTATCATTCTTCACCATTGCAATCTAAATCAATCTAAATTTAACTCTGGTTTGGTCCAAATTTCTGTTTCTTTTATCCGTTTGACCGTTTTTGAAATCTAGGGATTATGTTTGTGTTGTGTCACATCGACCATTGCGGGAAAACAATTATTTCAATGCCCTCATCACCTTAGAAGTAACTAAGTAGTCAAGTAAACATTAATACAATACTGTGATGATAATTGGGCAGGATGATAGTAGTTTTAGTTGAAGCAGCAAAAATTTGACAACTTTCTTTGTCATAAAAAAGGATCAATCGCAGATCAAAAAATTGCCAAGCGTACATCTTCAATAAAGAAGTACCGGCATTTGTGTCTCTGTATTTTTGTTAGGGTATGTGCAATATAACAACAGTAATGATAATTATTAGGCTAGCTAATCGAGTCCTGGGTTCGAATCCTGGTATTCCTGACAATATATTGTGCCCTTGGGAAAGGCACTTTACATGGCTTCTATCCACCCAGGTGTAAAATGAGTATCTGACTTCGGTTAAGGCGGTAAATGCTGTGGAAAGAGAGGGATGAACTCCACCTTCTCCTCCTGAGCTCCAGGAAATGCACAGTGTTAAAAAGAACAAAGTCACTGGTAGTAGACAAACAGATTCATTGACACATGGATAGGAGAAGCGGAGTGAGTGATTGAGTCAGTGAATGTGTGAATGAGAGAGAGAGAGAGAGAGCGTGTGAGTGTGTGTGAAGGTCTACAATCGCACATAAGTGTGGTTTTGATAATACAATGTGTGAAAACGATATTCCAAAGATTGAAACGCAGCTTACATTGCATTTTGTTCCCAAACTGTGCGCTGAAAAAAAATATTTTTAAACATTATGTTGGGCTTCCTACAGACTATGAAGATTATATACCTTAAGGCCTTAAGGATAGCAACATACACAGAGAATATTTTGAAATGAGTACAGGTTTGCCTTCGTCTTGCTTCATGGTGCAAGCAATTATAGAGCCTAAACGTGTTGTTATTCAACTGTTTAAAGTGAAACAAACTTGGATGTGTTAATGTGTGAACTATATTAATCAGCTTTCTTGGAAGTGGTCGGGAAGGAAGGCTTAACAGGAAGTACCAGATTAGCTATAGTCTCCTGCCGCGATGTGCTGTTCACTCTACACCTACAACCTTCTCCGGTTCCATGGAATTCGGAAGTTGAATCACGAAGACTCGTGGTGGGGTCGTGTACGTGTGGCGTAACGGCAGAGTGCTCGACTCGGAACCAAGAGGTCCCGGGTTCGAGTCCTGACATGCCACCGATCTTGTGCCCTTGGGAAAGGCACTTACTCACACTACTTACCGTTGGACTGGTTAACACAGTGTATCATGGTTGACGCGAACTCACTCTTCGTTGCTTTTATCTACATAATAAATGTCCAAATAATGTTTCTTCTACATAATAAGTCATCCACTTTGCCCAGCCAACATACCAGTAATGTCTGACATGTATCGACTGCAACGATATATTTTCTGTTACACTCTATAACTGCATATTCAAGCAACGAACACACAAATGAGATACAAATGGTTTATTAAATATCATATTACACCTTGCACAACGGTTAGGGTAAAAAATAAAGTGTTTTTACGTTTCATACCAAACATATTAGGAAATCATATGACAACAAAACTTTCCACCTAATAGGGTGGGCGTCGTTTGCAGACATATATTTAATTCGAAGTCTTACTATCAGTTGTTTATAGACATTTCTTGTCACTTATAATACTGGTATTAAATATTGTTATTGGTATGGGCAATAACTATAAGTAGTGAAATACTGCCACACTTTTATACAGGTTTTATTTTATTTCTAGCATAGTTTTACCATGCTTCATAAGCACACATATTAAAATATACAGTGACTATGACTTTGTCTAATTCATATGCGTTTTTCCGTATAATTTGAGCTCAAGGCAGAAAATAAAATCAGAACTGCAACATAATTTCACCGACATGTCTGTGTTTGATATCACACAAATGATTGATATTAAAACTGCACCATAATAAGATAAATACACTGCTCTCTTATAACACGAGTTAACAGAAGTTGGCTCCAAAACTGGGCACATCGAGGTGCTTCCCTGTCGTCGTTGACTTTAGTAAGTTTTTGACCCTCCTGATGTGCGGCCTAGGGGAGAGCTTTGGCGAAGACTTGGGCGAGCGACACCGAACATCCTTCGTCAGCGTCTGTTCTTTCCACCTCGCGTACAATCCTTCGAAAACTCTCGCCACTTCGATGTACGATTCTTTCGTCGTGATCTCGGAGAAACCACATCCTAACGTGTCCGCCATTTTCTCACCGTCAAGTCTCGCGACCATTCTATCTAGTTCGAGATCTCGTTTGTTGCCCGCGAGAGTTACGGGTGTGTTGGGTCCCTTCGTGTGGTTAATCAGAAATTTGATCCTCATGACTTCTTCAAAGCTGCAGATGTCGTTGATGCTATAAACTATGACAAAAGCATCCCCCCATCGAATCTTCTGCTCCAGGGCCAGAGAATTCTCTTCCTGAATAAAATGATAAGAAATTTCAATGGTTTTATGATTTCATCATTGTACACACACATACACTTACACACACAAATGTCCGCACGTATACTCATTCACACATCGCCCCATCGAAAGCTTCTGCTCCAGGGCCAGAGAATTTTCTTCCTGAATAAAATAATAAGAAATAAATGGTTTTATGGTTTCATCATTGTGTTTCAATATGGCCTTTACATTATTAAAATGGAGAGGACGGAAAACGTAATCATATTAATAATAATATGCACATATTTAAGAGTAGACAGATCGCGATCACTGTTTTTGTTTACATCATATACATGCAAATTATTTAAAGACACATGCAAATTATACATGGTAGGCAAATCAACCATTTTCTGCCTACCACTCGCTGGCTGTGACGTTATGGCGAACGCTCGCTTAAAGAATGTTCACAGAAATTTAATTGAGAGAAATTTGAGAGAACTTTTTTAAAAGGTAAGCACATTTTCATCTTTGTAGTGGATCATATGGTAAATTATCTTTTAATCTTGTAGTATTGGGGAGGGCCAAAGATAAACCACCAGGTTTCCAGCCCTCCCATGCATGTCTAGCTATTTGTTACATTTTTATTTGTAAGTGCAAAACAATAAATAAACAAACATAAAAGCAATGAGCTGATATTGAATGACATCCTTTGCTTGTTGACAAGCAGTCTGAAAAAACATATCGTACATGTACCTGGCCGGCGGTGTCCAGTACTTCAAACTGTACAGGGTTGTCATCAATAAACGTCCGGTGGTGGTAGATGGCCTCTGTGACACAAATTAAAAGTAAAATATCATAAAATGTCCAATATGTGTCGACTGTATGACAGCTTGTAGAATTAGAGGAAATAATATTTAGCTTACCGAGAGTTGGGTCGTAGTCACCGATGAATCTCTTGGTCACGAAACGCACGGTCATCGCTGAGGAGAGACAAGGTACGTTTTGTGAAGTTTACAACTAGGAAATATCTCTCTTTCTCTCAGTCACACACACAAACACACACACACACACACACACACACACACACACACACACATACACACAAACAAACAAGCACACACTGTGACACAGACATAAGCACACACAGACGCACGCACACACACACACACACACACACACACACACACACACACTGTTTGGTGTTAAAAGGTCAATGCCCTTCAAGATCTCGGACATTCACCTTCGTTGAGCTCCTTCTGTTTTGTATAACATTCTTTCATTCTTCTCATGCGTACACAAAAACAAAACAAATCCTCTTAGACCAGCTTTAACGATTCAAGGTCAGTTGAGGTCGTTGCTCTCTGACTTCTTTGATTTGTTACACCTGCAAAAGTGTTCTTTTCGCCTCCTGTACAGTTTGTCTGGGTAGAATTACGTCCTATTGTATCCATGAAACGCTGAGAAATACAAGAGAGTAAATCTAAGGGCACGGGGATCAGAGGTCAACCAAACACTGCATTATTCATATTTTTTTGTTTCATGACGGGTGTCTGATCAATTACGCGCTAGGAAAATACCCTAAACAAAAACTTCTGTCAACAAACGCATGGCGAAATATTTATTCAAACACCTCTGGTGTATAAATGAGGAAACAACTGTGTCTTTCATAAGACATGTGAGTTTTACATTGAGTAGGTTGTGTGGAATCTACGACAAAAGAGAATACCTAGCCATAGATTCGAAGGCACTGATTCTTCTAAAATAATGTTTGGCATTTTTTAAAGCCTTCACTTTATGATTTGTTGAACATGTGGCCTTCTTTTATCATTGTTTCACTGGGTAATTGACACTAGTGTAATTTGGCTTAATAGATCGTTCATAATTGTCTTGCAATTGAATTACTCGTCAATTGATCCAAGGTTACGTTACACAATTTTGCAATAATGAATTAGAAAATATAATTTCAACACTAACAAACGCCAAGTTATTCAAGAACAAAACCTTTAAAAACTTTTAGCCAACTTTGATGGGTATTACTGAACGTAATTTTATTTCTAAGCGATTAGTTAATTTTCTAACTTGGTCTACACCACACTTTGCACAATGCTCTGAAGCAAGGGTGCTCCCCCTCTTGCCAAAATCCTAGCAGCTTTTCCAAAATATTTTTAAAAATGCCAAAAAATCCCAAATTTGGGTGTTTTCTCTTACTAGGATTTTCATAAAAATTCCCTGAAAAAAAAAAACAGATTTTTTTTACGGAGTGGCATCAGCTAAAAATTTCTGGGGGGGGGGGATCCCTACAACATATAAGGACATAAATCTTTAAGTTCAAAATTTTAACTTGACCGCGTACGCACCTGTCTTGCCAACCCCTGCTTGTCCGAGTACCACCACCTTCACTGTCTGGGTCGGGCCGCTGGTCTTCCTTCCACACACTGGAAACCGTCCAGCCGCCATGTAGAGAACTATACACTCCGGGAGCTGCATTTACAGAAAAATATGTAGTTGGTAAAAACACCATAAAATCCTTATTCTAAATAACTAAAGTCAAAGAGAAAGAGAATCATGAAATGGCTATGACATTGTTTTAAAATGACATTGTTTTTAAATGACAATAGCAAAGCAAATGCTGCAAATGTACATGTAAAAATGACGTTTCCTGGCCTAACATATATACAAAATGTATTTAACACAAAAACAAAAGTTTTTGTAATCTCGAAGCAGATCTTTCGGTTGCCTCAAAAACCGTATCAAATTGACCAGGCTGTATCCATTTCCTAGACAGTTACCAGTTGCCAACCGAGCTAAGTTGGCGTAAAAAAGCTACCAGTACAAAAAAGAGATCTCGACAAAAATACCCCCCCCCCAAAAAAAACGCCAAAAATAAACAAAAATCTACACCTCTGCTTGGAGAGTACATTTTTTGCCTTTCTACATATTTGCATTGCACCAGTAAAGACTAAAACTTTTTTGAATACAGACATAACTTTGGTAAGAATACAACGGCCCGTACATTGTATACCGAGTTGCAAATGTACATGTACATGCAATGTGACAGAAGTAATGTATGTCATAGAGCGGATCACATGCGACACTAACCACTACAAAATCCAGGGGGCCAACAAGTGTAGTCGACTCCCAGTTCCTTGACCTGGGGTAAGCCACTCCTATAATACCATAAATGGCCTTCTAGGCGTGACTACATACCGCTCAGGGGAGACGTTGATTGTCAGGGTGCCCCCGGGAGTGACCCGCGGCGTACAAGGAAATTCATAAACCATTGAATACTTCTTATTTTTGTTACTATGTGCCTTGCACTTGGGAGGGGGGCAGGAAATTTCGATACATAATGCATCAAAAAAGACATTTTATGACGATTTTACTTTACTAACTTTAAGGTTTGTGATAAACTAGTAAGTAGCAATCTCTGGGTTACATTCCGTTACGTGTGTTATCGACCAAAAACAAGATATCTCCTCTAAACTACTCACTAAACAGCAGGAGTCGTGTAGCCAGTACACCGGGCAGCCATTTTGTTCAAAACAACTTCTATTTGCCATGCGTAGAAGATAGAAAGTCCCTTTTTACTAGCCCATCCCACCCATTTTGGTTGAAATTGGTACAGTCCGTCTGCCAGCGGTGCGCGGGGGGAGTAGCGCTGGCCCTGGGGTCGGCAGGCAGGGCACGTCAAGTGTCACTGCAGCTGTAGGGCCGAAAACAGCCCGTGCATTTTGTAGTGCACTCCAAAAAGTGGTTCAAAGATCTAGCGACAACCCTCAAGCCATCAGGACTCACCACTTAAACTTCTCCACCACTACTCAGGTCAGTTCAAGGTTGGTATAAGTGCGAGCACGTTCCGAATGTGGCTGACAACTTGTACAAGGATACGTCTGTGGTCGAGGGCTCTTTTGTCCACTTGGAGTGGTCGGGGGTAGAATTACTGACGTCCGTGTTAGGTGTCGTGCGTGCGACGGTCTTATGTTTGAATAGGAAGCACATGCATGAACACACCACAGGGGCACTCTATACTAGTGACTTTGTGTCTCCAAGAGGAAGAAAAAAAGTATGTATACGTATGTATACGTATGTCGTATGTCAAAGAAAACAACAGAGAAAAAGTTTGTTTGTCACCGTTTTCTGAAATGACCGTCCGTGTTCTTTATAATTTCTTCCATGGAGGGGGGGGGGTCTTTTATGTGTTTTGTTTTTAGTGACTTTTCAAATATTTCATCTTAGATGTACAAGTGGCGGCTAGAATATAAGTTGTGTACAACTAGAGCAGGTGGCCACTTTTGGCTTCGTCCTTTCCTTTGTATTATTTGTTTCTTTGAATAAAAAAGAGTCAAATATCGTTTTTTTTGGGAGGGGGATGGAGGGATCGCGAAATGCTAAGTTTTTTAGGCTTAATTGTAGATTTTGATTTTGACAAAGTGATAATATTAATATTGATAATTACAATATTAGAGACATGTCCCAGACAATTCACCGGGATATTAGGTCAAACACGCATGTTTCCTTTGTAATTTACAAAAAGGAGTGGCAGGGGCTATATTTCCTGTGAATTGTCACTTTCTGAGGGACAGCCATATCGAAATTTCATTCTGTTTAGAGAAAAACTAATGCAACCGTGTTTTTGTCTCATTATCAATATACTAGTATCCAATGATTTTCTTTTAAAAAATTTAGTAAGGTGCAGTATAACATTGGGCGCCAGGGGAGCTGTTTAGCGGGGTCAACTTTTGTTACCAAGCGGTTTTCTAAAACAATTATTATACCTCTTGATAGAATGAGTGCAGGAGTTAATTTATAACACCTGAGGCAGGAGACGGTACGCAGTGGTGGGCAGACAGTACAATTACCTTTGGCCATAGGAACCTACGGTTAAATACACTGAAACAAGTCCCCATGAAAGTACTTTCTCACATTTCAATCTCAAACATTCTTCTGCACCAGAGAGCCACAAGGGTCTGCTTCCCAAATATAGAAAGAAAACAGGGGGTTGACCAGCTCAAACTCTGACAACAGCTGACAACAGTGAAACAAAGCCTATTCTTGACCTACTTTTTTCATGTACATATCCATCCATACTCAGGCAAGACCTCATCACTCATGTCTCTCATTATGCCCAACAAACTGGTAAAATGAACAAAATTCGACCAAAGTAGGAATGTTTAGACCTTCCAGCCCAGAAGTCTCCGAACCGGACCAAAATTTTCAAGAGAAAAAAACAGAGATATTAACTAGGAACTACAATCGTTCCTATTTTGGGGCCTCTACTACGGAACGCAATTGTGACGTCTGCGCTAGTATAGCTCTAAGCGATACCACCACAGCGCCGAATCTATTTGCAAGAATCTGCGCGGACAAATATTAGGCCATGTTTACAAGCGTCAGAGGATGTGTCACAAGAATCCCTAGAATTTCTTGGTGACGTAGCGAACTGGCTTCATACATGTTTTTCTCTAGTACAGTTTCCGGTATTTTTCAAAGTCCTACTCTTTTGAGAGTGGGCGAGGGGGTAGTAGATTTTGATTATTTTATGTGCCTGAGGTAGATGATTTTAATGTGACCAAGGAAGTTAAATCTTGATTTTTAACCTCCTTAATATGGCTTAAACAGCAATTTGAGTATAATTGTAGGAGGACACAATAAAGGCAATTTGGAGACACTAGATTTAAAAGTGAGACTTTGACAATGCTGGATAAAAAAGAAATGAAACTACGGGTGCCAAAAATGTTTGTTATTGAAGCCATTTTGTGTTCTGGTTATTCTGTATAGTTAACAAGCGTCTTAAGTAACACATTGATTTACCTGTTTCGAATTGTTTATGTTCTTGTTGTGATGGCTAGCCCTTTATAATAGCCTCCGGCTAGTTGGGCAGTCCTGGCTGCATACATATGTCTTATTCAGCCTAATAAATCAAATCTTTCGTACACGTTTCTCATGTTTAACCATTTCATGTCTTTAATTGATGTTTTTAAGATACAGTCCTAGATCCTAGGATTTGGTCAACCTGTGGTCCTAGATTCCCCGTTTCTATTACACAATTGCACTGCTACCTTAAATGTACTCTCAAAGCAGAGGTTGTGGGGGAATGATCGTTAGCTTTTTATATATGGCCCTTTTTTGTCGGTATACCCCAGTCGGTGGCCGGCGACCTTCTCTGGCTAATGGATACTGTCTTGCCACCGAAAGGCATCTGCCTGGAGATTACCTTTTAAGGTAATGTACAGTGTGCATTTAAAAATGCACACTGTACATTTGTCAGCAGTAAGTTTGTTCAACTAATAACTCCCAGTGAGAGGGACCACGTGTGACCTAGACTTGCACGGGTCACCCTAGCTCGACAGCATCTCGTTTTGCACTGTGCGAGTCTTTGAAATCGATAAGCATGGTGACAATCATTTACAGGCCTTCTGTATAAACAAGTACAGTTTAAACATAATCTGCGGTATTTAGTCATTGTAAAGACATTATCAGAAACCAAAAGGATGCTAATAGAAAAGTTGCCCATGAAACGTAACCGTTACAGTAAACTTTTTTTCTCGTTTTTGAAAAATATTCCTTTGGAACGTTGTAATGTACAACAGATCTGTGACAAAGGCTAGGTTTTTCCTTGTCAGAGATAAATATTGTACACTACCCCCACAAAGAAAACCGCACAAAACATCGCTTTACCCTACAAGAACGTACCTTTTGTCAAGCAGTACTTGATTGTAAGTCTTGTCCACTCCTCCTACTATCCACCTCCAGCGACCAAGTCTAATGAAAGGTGGTCATCTTGTTGGTAGAGGTCTCGTCGTGGTCACAAAGTAGCACCGTAGCACAAGTAACGAGAACTTAATATGTTCTTATATTACTTTGGTGAAGCGCAGCTTGCCTCTGTCGAAACATACGTTATGCCCAGGTCACGAGAGTTGACGATTTGCGGAGAACAGAGCTTCAAAAACCCGGTATTGCCGCAACACCAGACTGCTAGCTTTGTCCAAGGAAGTCGAGAGACCTTCACTCTTTGCACAGTCCTTAGCTTGTTTTCACAACTTGGAGATCTTGTCGTCTTGTTTACCGTCTTTAGTCTCTTCCTTGCATCTTCTGAAGTTTATTTAAAGTCTAAGATCCTTGTGGTAAGCAGCAAAGTTGGTGGATTCTTCCAAAACCTCCGTTCTTGCACGCGACTTGTGACGTTCTACTAGATTTACGACTTTTGCAGCGCCTTATTTATACCTAACCGCAATAGATAAAGGGAATAGATTTAAACGTTGACGAAGCGACAAAGAATGTCAGGTCTTGACGTACGTACCTACATTTCTGTTCAGGTTTCCTCATTCTTTTTATACTCTGTCACGATTTCGAGTGTGTGCTTGTTCTTTCCTCTAGCGGAATCTTATGTGTTCCTGACACCGAATTAAACACTTGTCAATCTTCTAAAACAAACAGTAACACAACACAATGGCACGAAAGACCCCACATTCCTGTGTAGCCATGTTCGTAACCAGGAGTTTGTTTTCCAGAGGTTTTCCCTAATTTTGTGGATCGCCAAGCAACACTTCCAAGCTCGTTAAGTATTCGATGGACAAATATTAGTTTATTTGTGAAAGGGCCTGACAAGTTGACCCCAGGACGTACTAACACCGTAACAAGTATACAAACTAAGTGTCAGAGGTATAGTACATAGACGTCATTATAATTTACATAAAAGTACAAACTATATCTTTATAAAACGATATAATTGTTTAAAGGAACCTTTTAAAGTGCGAAACTGTTTAAATTTGCTTCGTTCTTTCTTCTATAAATGTTTCGTCCTTGAATATTTTTTGCTGGGGGTTTTATAAGGTGAAGATAATAATTAGCCCATGGAACGAATTAGACGTATAATATAAATGTCGATCATGTAGAACCGGAAGTGACGTCTTGTGGGATGACCGGATGTCCCGGCCCGTAAATGGTACATGATGACGTAACGCTAGGTGCCAAATAATTACAAAAATTTGAAGAATGTTTTAAAAAAACCTTGTCATCGTATCCAATGTTTATTATAAGCTATCTTCTTCCAGTCTAGAGTGGCGTCAAATTAATGTTACTGAATCAGGGTACGAAAAGTCAAGCCACATCATATACGTGTACTTTCTGACTCACAGGCATCCAAAATGAACCACGAGATCCTAACAGTTCCTTCATATTCCGCCAGGTGTCTCTGTTGAATCGTCTGCTGTTTGACACAAAGACACTGTTGCATTCCACGATTTAACTTTTCAACCTTTCAACCTCAAATTTTGTTTGCAAGATTAAAGTAGCAGTTGTCGTATGCCTGAGGACCCTTTGAGATTGTTCTTGAGATTGTCGCAAAATGATGATGAAGACAAAAAGACATTCATCCCACCTTAGCAGCAATTTTATTGCCCAAAATTAAACATAACATCTTTCCAGACTCTGTACATTTTAATGACAGAGTTAACTACCATACAATTCTCTTTGTGCATTATATTTCCCTAGATGTAAGAGGTGGTGCTAGTATCTCACTTAGCAATGCATATGATGCAATCTATGATCATGAATCAGATATAATCTGAGTACCAAGAAACAAAGAGTCACCACAAAAGTGTCAGGATCCTTCCACAAAAGTGTCAGACTTGGTCCCTATTTTATGAAAGATTATTAACACCACCAACCAACAGAAAAAAAAAGTTAAATTTATCTCCTGAAAGAAAATAATCTTGGCACACAGCTCTGTTAAAGTTTTAGCTGGGCTATCTTACATAATTACTAGTAATCTCTGAAATGTTGTTCCTGATTAAAAAACTCAAGGCTTTTTCTTTAACCAGATGTTCCTTTCACAACATCCTCCAAACTCATCCTCTGTAGGGAGATGGTCTCATACGGATGTTCCTGCCCCTTCTCAAACAGACAGGCGACCTTGACCGCCCCCCCTTCCTCGTAGGTCGCAAGGTCGGAGTACGCGCTCGGCCCCTTGTGCAGCACGAGCCCCGGGCTCCAGGTCCGACACCCGTCTTTGCTGACCTTGAGGGACATGTTCTCGCGGAGGGAGAGGTGGTTTGGGTTGGCGAACAGGACCCAGTTTTTGAACTCTGACCCTTCGGGTCGGAGGTTAGATGGAGGGGTGGCAGCAACGACGGAACCCTGCAAGATAAAAACAAACAGAAATATCAACAAAATGACACAAAATTCACCAACTTGAATCAGCTTAATGTTTGGTAATCTATTCATTTCAACAGGCTTCAAATCAGTGATTTCAAAAATATCATACTTAGTCCGTGACTATCAAGAGTTTACAAAGGTTTGGAGCAGAATTCATATAATAGTGTTTACATGACTTTCCTCACTCCACCAACGTGTAAAATGAGTACTACCTGACTTTGGCTGGGGCAGTACAAGGTAGTGGAAAGAGAGGGATGGGCCTTCAAATATTGACAGTGATTAACAACCCCGCACTGTCCCTATGGCCTCAAAAAGGCTATCGGAATACCTTATCCTAATAAAACAAACAAACCTCTCTCTTTTTTCAGTCAGTAGCCTATATTTGTTCAAGTTATTAAACAGAAGATAAACTTGACATACTAAAGAAAATTATAACAGTAAAGCTCCCTATACGCATGCATCTGTTTACAGTGTTCTTAAACATTCTGACTTGGATTTAGATAGACGGACAAGATCATTACATACTGACCTGACATCCGCCATAGTTCTTGACCGTCGGCATCATCGGTCCAGTCTTACACGGTTCCACCAGCTCATCCACCAGCTGTCCGGGGGAGAACGTGAGCCCACCATCCTCGCTGAAGGACTGCTGTCTGCGCGCGTGCGGGCCCAGGGTACGGATGTTCAAACACAGCGAGGAGGACCCATCTTTCTTCACAATCTCTACAGCCTGAAAAGTAATGTACAGAATTTATTTTTCATTACGTAAGACGATATAGATAATAATTTTCAGACTGAGTGCAAAACATGCAAACTACATTTGATGTCTGGGAGATTGTTCTAATTATATACAAAAGTTAAATGGTAAATACAAGACTGGTCATTGACCAGGTCAGAGGTCAGTGTTTGGAACGAAAGAAGAAGAGGAAACTGAGCAAAAAAACATGTTTTCCTTATACCCAAACTATCATAATTATCAAAGACAAAGGCTATGTATGTAACATTAACATGTCCATGATCACTTCCTGTACTGTGGTTACAGCATTCCCCCCTCACTTCCTGCCACTCTAATGTATTCAAATAACCATGAACACACAAGCAAGCAGACAGACACACGGAAACATACACACAGTACCTGACATTCAGAAGTGTGCAGGTTCTCTGGGCTTTCAGGTACTTTCCCACCTAACTGCCACGTTTCACCGTGATCGTCTGAAAACACTACAAATGACCGGGCTACACCACCTTGCAAGAAATCTCCTGTAAAAAATCACTCATTTAAGAATACTGTGGCACATCCCTAACACCCCTGCTTCTCAGTGGTATGTCCCAGTTGAGGTGATGAACACAGTTTTGTCAAATTTTCTTTATTGATAAAAATGTACTAATATGAAGACAGCTGAACAAGCAAACAAAAAAAATTTTTTTTGGTCAAATTTCTTTTCATTGAAAAGCAAACATGCAAAATTAAAGGAGGTATATTAGAAATGAATGGCTTTCAAGGATTGCATTTTGGTATTTGAAAGAAAAAAATCTTTGGCAGAATGGCCATGTGGTGTTACATGTATGAGTATGGTTGTAAAATTTAATCATTTTCATTTAAATAATATATATCATGATTGATAGCATTTAGGGATGAGAGGAAGAAAAGAGTGTAGAAATAGGGAAGCATGAAAAAAGGATGGAAACAATAAAAAAAGAAGGAATCAAATAATAAATGAGAGCCAAGCATGCCTGTCTAAATTTTTTTCATAAGAACAAAATGATTTATATTCAGTTGGGACCTGCCACTCTCAGAACAGGGGTGGGAAGGATGATTTTTTTCAGTCCATGAACCCACCTGGCATTCGTTTGAATGGAAGTTGTCCCCTCCCTCGGGTACTTTCCCCCCTACTTGCCAAGTGTTTCCTCCATCATCACTATACACCACAAAGGACTGGTTCACACAGCCTCTCAGGAAGTCTCCTACAAAACAGAAAATTGGCTGTTTTTGTACCAAACAAACTCCAAAGCAGGCTGGTGTTGTCTTTTCTCTTTACGTAAGATTTACTTAGTCACTAATATCCTTTTGCATTGGGTTTGGCGTTTTTAAATGCAAAGGATATAATAAAAGTTGCTGCTATAAATAGTCAAGAAATCTTAATAAAAAAACATGTTTCTTGAAATCCAGGAGGTTGAAATTAGAAATAATAATAATGTCAGATACCACAAAATACAGAAAGTGTGAAGTTCAACAATAGAAAGGGGAATAAATAACAACTCAAAGGTGTTCATAAAAATATTTTTCAGTGGAAGCTGCTTTCTAAACTCCCACCTCAACTGGGACATACCAGTACATGTATCATGATCCATGCAAGGTCTATCTTGCCTATGATTATAAAAATGATTGAAATTAATCATAACGTACATAATTTTGTACATTGTAAAACTAGTTGCTTATTGTTACTAATGTTAGAATTTACCAAGATCTGCAAGCAGCATATATAGCAATCACTGAATTGTTTATAAAATTAACACTGTGTGACAGTACAGAGTTCAAAGTTGGGTTTGAGCACGATCAGTTTGGAAACTTTTTGGAAAATTAAAATTGATAATGATCACTACACACAATGATTATAGATTTTGTGATGGTGTTAATTGGGTTCTTGTATTTGCTTTGGACTATTCCACTATGAAAAGTTTTGGGTTGACAGTTTAACGTTGTTGTTTTTTTTAACTGGAAAGAGGAAATGATTTTACAATAATTATGAATTTATCAAGGTAAATGCAGTGTTACTAATTTACAGAAATAAGAGAAAGAATGCAAGCCAAACAATATTCTACAGTGATGGTCCACCCCTGATTTTCAAAATGGATCAGCCCAACAGCATCTACAGAGAGAATTGGATGGAGTTTTTCTATGTTAATTCATTTGTTTAACTCTGGACACTCCAAAGGGACGTACTTGAGAACAGAAACCATCCCACCAACTCTAGGGTCCGTCTGAACCAGGAGGGGGGAGATGATCGAGGCCTTGGGGCTATCATTAAAAAAAATGTGTCGGAAAACAGACAAAAGATTAATAAAAACTTCTCTGACTCCTCAACCTCACACACAACAATGGAAAATACACTACCTTGAGGTGTTTATAAATCAAGAGGACACAACTGTATCATATCAAGTTCATTTTCATATGACATGAAAGAGGACTGATGAGACAGTCAAGAAGACAAAACTGTGTCAAGTAAAAGATATGAAAGTAGACAGCAACAAAACTGTCTGGACTGTCCAAGTATCTTGACAGTAACAAGAAAAAAATGTGACAAGACAGAAAAATTCCACTTTTTGGAGACAAAAAGAATGTCTGCATTTCAAACTACAAGCCTCACAACTCACAGTCGCAACACACTTGGTTTGCTGAGAAACACTAGCAGACACTATGTTAAGGACACAATGTACGAGTAAAACACTCTCTCATACATACCTTCTGCATGGGTGGAACTCTTCTTTACCATATGGTTGCCAGGAGCAACCAGGCGACCAGACTTCAGCTGGATCCCATGTCCAGGAGCTGTAGAAATAATCATTCCATACATGGACTAGTTTACAGTTACATGTATAGGAAAAACTTATAACATAATACAAAGGAGGTAATTTTTTGAAATTCTTGATAAATCAAATGTCAGAAATTTTCTTTCATTACCCAGAGCGAAACATGCCCACTGTGGATTCTCCTTGCCCAGAACCTTGTCTGTGAGATCCTCAGGTTCAGTCCACGTCACACCATTGTCTTTACTCTGCACAGGGAGAAAAACAGTTTTAAATCAGGAATTACCATCAATGATGTCGCAAAAAACACCAAAGAGAAATACTGCAAATCTTGAAAATCCTAATGATATTTTCAAGTTCCTGGTTCAAAGATACAGCATTGCCACCAAATTAAAGATAGGCAATGGCTATAGTGGGAAAATTCTTATTGTCAGAGGGGAAAAATTCTTATAATTATTGTCAGGCTTAGCCTGTCAATAGTGAAGAAACAAATTCTTATTCTTAGCATGTCAGTAGCCGTTAGAGTTAGGGGCAGCCTGTCAGTAGCAGGCAAAAAATTATTTTTGCTTAGCCTATCAATGGCCTCTTCAAAATAATACAGACCAAGGATTGTGATGGACAGTTACCTTGACGATACAGAGTCTTATTTGGTGCACGCCGTCCCGAATCATGTCGTGTTCTGTAACCTGGGGCGGGATGGTACCAAACAGGAGATGGATCGTTCCATTGGTTCTGTCCACGATGGGGGTGGGATTCATACACCTGTATGCAGAGTTGAAAAGAACTGTCAACTGTTTTTACAGTCATTTTAAAGAGATGCAATGTTTTGTGGTGAACATTTTCTACTGTAGTTATTTTCAATGCAGACTGGTCATCAGTGTTTGGATAGATGTATTTTCCATGAACTGGTGATAAGAGGAGAAAGTACTGACAGTTAGTTTCCTGCACTTTGAATCATTACAACAACTGTATTGTTTTGGGTTTCTCATCTGTGTCTGTCCTAGCTACTAGCAATTGTTTTGGTTTCATATGGTGGGTGGGAGGTGATCTTGACAGCTGATTGTTAAGAGGTCACTCTGAGTCTGAAAGGGTATGAGTTTGAGAAGTACTCTGTAGTGTAATACCCGATTAAATCCCATCTTACAATCAGGAACAGCCATTTAGATAATCTCCAAGCAGATCCTAGGGTAGCCAAAGACATCATCAAATTTGCCAGGCAGTATCCATTCGCCAGAGATCCGAAAGGCTCCATATGCCACCTTGGGTGGCTAATGGATACTGCCTGGCCAACTTGATACTGTCCTTGGCCATCCTAGGATCTGCTTGGAGATTACTATTTAGGTAAGTACAGGACCTAATTTACATAAGTAATGAAAATCCTGTATGTGAGTTTACCTTTTGTCGGGTACACAGCACACAGTCTGGACATCTGACCACTCCAGTCCTCCCCCCTCCTGCTGCACCCCCCTCTTCAGTACGATGTCCATCGGCCCCCAGTCCTTGTACGTGTCCTTCCTGGCCTCACAGAAGGCGAGGAACACGCCGTCATGGTACACCAGGGCGGGGATACGGAACGTGTGGTAACCCTGCTGACCCTGCGAGAACACAACTGGAGAGAAAGAAAAAATTAGGGCATCAGTCTTCTTCAGATTCTGTGGACCCTTGGGCATCTGTGTACCGCTATCAGGTATCGTAAGGCAAAAGTACCGAAGTAACGGGTTCCTTTCTCAGCACTCGGTATACAGAGGTGAGGCGGCTTCCGTCCTAGATCTCCAGTGCCGAAGTTACGTCAACACTTGGTGCCCAGTGTCGGCGGCTTCAGCACTGGAAACCCCAAATCGGCAAATCAAACCTTGTCTTTAAAAGGGGTATAGAGATGCCGCCTTTGAACTCTAACACTTATATTTTCGAGATCGTACCGCCCGGGAAGCAAATTACAATCGGGGCGACAAGGTGATCGGCAGGACAATACTGCAAGGCTCAGATCCTCACATTTTTACAGACATAGACTTGGCCTACGATACTGTACTTTACGCCGCGCGGCCGACGTAAGCACCAGAGGCCCAGTGCCTAAATGATTTGAGAACTCGGCTCCCAGCGCCAAGAGTCACCGAGCACTGGAACGATCCAGTGAGGAACCCGTTACTCAGGGACTTCGGCACTTGCTATCCAGTGGTGAACGGCCTCCGAGCACTGGTAGCGAGTGCCGAGTGGAATTCAGCACTAGCTATCCAGTGGTGAACGGCCTCCGAGCGCTGGCTATCCAGTGGTGAACGGCCTCCGAGCTCTGGCAAACGAGTGCTGAGTGGAAGTTAACACCGGAAAACGAGTGCCCAGTCAAGATTCAGCTCTTGAATTCCAGTCCTGACGGTGTTTCAGCACTGGAACAAAGCCGTTTCTGCACTAGAATTCCAGTGCGGAGCTTTCTTCCGCACAGGGCCCCGAGTGTCGACGCCACTTTCCCCGTGAGTTCCGCACTGGGAGGCCAGTGAGGAACCCGTTACTTCGGTACCCTTGCTATCGTAAGTGCCGGCCTCCATGTTATGTGGCCACAGTTTCACCCAAACAACATTGCAAGGTTGCCAACATGCAATTTTGTATATGCCATAGGTGTAGGTGCGACCTAAACCTCTGGTCTGGACCTGAATCCAGACCTGAACCTAAATGTGGGTTTACAAAATTATAGCCACCATGTACTGTACCATCTGTAAATCTTGAGCCACCGTAGTATCTCCTTTGAGATTACAGTAACCTCTACCGGCTATTCTGCCAGAACGCAATCTCTACCCTATTAAACATACGAGGTGATTTTTTGGCCTCCATGATTCAGGTGAACCTGTTTACCTGCTGACGTGTGCCCCGCCCCCTCCCCTGTACGAGAACTTCTCAAAAACTAATATGTTTACGTTATACATCATGATAAACCATGCTTTTGGTAGATATAATTATCTCTTTACATATATGAAACAGTTCTGTACCACTAAAATCCCCGTAAAGTCATTCTTAGCTGTTGTTTTGTTTGTTTAAAAGTGTGAAAAACAAACCTTCCACGTCCATCGCTGTTGCCATTTCCAGGTCAGTCGGTTGGAAGAGACCATTGTAGGATAGGGTGGAGAAATTTGACAACAGCGCAATAAAACTATTGTTTACTACCTAATATATGCTTTAAAAATCTATTTAGATATGTACTATACAATTTAATACCTAAATTTTAGAATACAATCAAGATGTGATATCCTATTGTTGTCAAAGAAATACACTTATTTCTACCTGCAATGAATTATGTGATGGTCCTGATGAACTTTGACCGAAAATAGTTCTGGGTTACCAGTATAGTAACACAAGATACTAGTAGTGAGAGTGAGGGATTTTCACGTGTTTTGTCACATCTAGCATCAGTTTTATCAACTTTTGTTGAAGATGAAAGATTAAGCATTGACTAAGCTATGATTTGGATGACTCTAATTTCTAATCACATGTCAAAAGTTTCAGAACAGTCAACTTTTTGATAAAGTACAATTTAAAATCATTTGTAGACTTCGCAGACTTGTGAGGTGGGGGCTTTATTTCTTTAAGGGCGGGGGGGGGGGTAATTTCTCTGCGACAATGTAGTTTTGCCTAGAATTTGATATCCATGCTGATTAAAAAATAATCTCGCGTTGCCAAAATTATTCAGTTCCAACCACCTGTTCTACAAGTAGTCTTTATCAGGCTCCTCCCAGAACTAAATGAAAATTTGAAAAGGCCAAATTAGAGTGAAATTCCACCAATTTTACAAAATTGTCCTCGTGGGACAGAATGGGCATGTCTTTTGGTAGTTTGTCTGGGCAAATTATTCAGCTTATTTTGACCAATCATCCTGACAATATATAAAAGTTATATATATATATATATAGAAGGAGAGTCATTATACATGTACATATATTGTAAGTATCTGTTACATATTAGAAGTGGAAACTCCGGTTAGATTCTGATTGAACAGCACTAATTTGACGAAATTGGCCTCGTAGGACATTTTTCTTTCGCTAATTAAATACCCAGCTTGTATGCAAAGCACTGAGAACTCCTCGAGGATACTATTAGTTTCATCAGGTTGGTAGCTCATAGAAGAAAGAAAAAATCTTTTCATTACTTGACAACACTTGTATATATCAAACTCACTCACTCACTCACTCACTCACTCACTCACTCACTCACTCACTCACTCACTCACATTACTAGACAGCTGACAGTTTACAACAGCAGCAATTAAAAAGTATTGCCCTCTAGCTAAATGAATTAGCATAACATACCGCCCCGCCCAACTCTTGTTATACTCAAAACCGATATAAGTCGGGCGACCGGGTAAAATCTTTAGTAGAACAGGTTTAGGCCGACAACAACACCTCACAACATCTACAAACGTTTACAAAGAGTCACTGACACACATCAACATAACACACGCTTAGCACACAGAGGTGGCTTCAAATTGCCAAAGCCGAAAACCGCCTCAGCCAAAAGAACATTCCTGTATCGATGCATCAAAACTTACAACTTATTTCCCGAACACATCAGATTGTCTGCACCTACAACTTTTAAGAAACATATCAGGGATTGGCTGAAAACTAAAGTGGACACTTCCCAACCTCTGCAATCATGGTGGTAGTGCGACGACTAACTGTATTGAGACCTCTGACCTCTCAGCAGTTTTATACCCTATGTTGTATTCTCATTTCCCATGTCGTATTTCATTGCTATGTTGCATTTTATTTGCCATGTTGTATTTAAGTTACGTTCGCTTCTTGTGTATGTATGTATGTATAGTATAAGGCAGTGTTTCAAACGACTCCAGGAAGACTAGTGTTGTATTATTGTTGTACGCACTAATGGAGATCGATCAAATAAACAAATAAACAAACAACACCAAAAGGACGAGACAGAGGACCAAAGCAAGACTTCAACCATGCCCAAGGTAGGATATAACAACGTTTAGCATATATATTTGTGATTTGATACAGGTACAAAAGAAATGTACAGAAAACACAACGCTCTAGAGTAGACTTGGCCTATTTTTCATCATTCGCCTCACTTTTTTTCTCGGTAGCGCTAATATCTATTCTTTTGTAATTACAGGAAAAGTTTGTGCGTAACAAACCCCACGTGAATGTTGGAACCATCGGCCATGTAGATCACGGGAAAACAACGCTTACTGCTGCCATATGTACAACATGTAAGAGACTGTAATGGACCATTATTGCACTCTAATATCATTGTAACAGTGAGGCTACATTTCTTTAGCTACGCAAGCTTGTCCCAGATTCTTACGTGGGATCTTCTTCTATTTGAAGTCCTTCTATAATTTCTAACTTTGTAAGAAGCCCATTGCCTTTCACTAAGCATCTTCCAAAAAAATTCAAGGTCCTGCAGCTCATTTATGTTTGTTTGGATTCTGTATTCATGAAAAGCTTATTGTGGTTATGAGGGAAGAAGTAACGATCAGACAAAATATATCAAAAAAGTTAACGTTTTCATTATTTGAAGTCCTAGTAAATGTATACACATACATGGTACAAAACATGCACACATAAGAGTGAGAGCTTGTATATGCCATATACGTGCTAAACATATTCTCATTACTTGAACAGTAATACTAATAGGTTATCATGGCATCAAAAATACAATGATTGTATTTTTCCAGTGGCCAAAAAATATGGAGGAGAGAAGAGAGACTTTGCGAGCCTTGACAACTGTCCTAACGAAAAAGAGCGAGGCATTACTATCGATCCCTCTACTGTGGAGTACCAGACACCGAACAGACACTATGCACATGTAGATTGTCCCGGACATGCAGACTACATCAAGGTAAACAGATATGTATCTAAGTGACGGTGGGCTCACGTTGTGCACAGCACTTATGTATTAAAGAAATGAAAATAACTTACTAGACATTCAAATTTCAATCATATGAATTATATGTAAATAGACGCATAACATGCAACTAGAAAGGTAACATTTGCAAAGCAAATGCATAATGTTTACCTTTGCACATGGTCTGCTCTGTTAGTTCTTAGTAATACTCAATACGTGACCAGACAGGAGTCTAAATCACTCCTACTATGAAATTGCAACATTATGTAACCCAACAATTACGACGGTGACAGACGTCAACAAATCAGGTCACTGACCAGGTCAGAGGTCACTGTTTGGAGGAGAAGAGGAAACTGAGCAAAAACAATATGTTTTCCTTCGGTAAACACAACGAACCCTCGATAGAAACATATTGTAGTGACTTACACACTACAATGAATAGGGACTTACCCCAAATTTTCAGGTGATTCCGTCAACCTTGCTCACGGAATGGACCTGTCTACTCTTGGAACGTGACATCCAAGACACGTGACCGTAGTAGCGGGACATACGTGCCAGATAACTTGTGTCGCCCCCGTCTCTGTTTATATCATAATACTCCATCGCTTCCTTCCTCCCTTACCAGAATATGATGACTGGAGCAGCTCAGATTGACGCTGCTATCCTGACAGTGGCGGCAACTGACGGACCCATGCCGCAAACCAGAGAACACATTCTACTGGCCAGACAGGTGGGTAGATTCGTTCTCAATTGTCGGATACCTCGACATTTGATAATGATTTTTTTCAGTCATTTTGTGGCTTTTATATACTCTCCAAGCAGAGGTAGGGTCGCTCGGTATTTTGGCAGTATTTTCGCGTTTTTAATACGTCTTTCTACTTTTACGGTTTTTCTTCT